AGGAGGTGGGGCTTGTGCTAGAGAAGCACTATGGAAGGCTCTGGATTATGATGCGAGGACTCCACTAGGCATACCTAATATATACTCGGCCTTACTCTGCCAGGATGTAGGATCCCCAGGAGAGATACTAGAGAATGGGGGACCTAGGTGAGAGCAGCTTCTTTAAGACTCTTCAAAATGGGGGATCCCTGGGTGGCACCTGCCTTTGGCCCGGGGCGCGATCCTGGAGACCCGGGATCGAATCCCACATCAGGCTCCCGGTGCATGGAGCCTGCTTCTCCCTCTGCCTATGTCTCTGCATCTCTCTCTCTCTCTCTCTCTCTCTGTAACTATCATAAATAAATAAAAAAAATATTTAAAAAACTCTTCAAAATGCAGCAGCCTTCCTGTTAAGGAGTTGCCCTCAGAACACTCTTCTTGCATGGAATTAGCCTTGAACCCCTCACCACCTGGATCTTTGCTCTCCAGTAAGGTAGCCACCTGCCATATGTGGTTATTGAACATTCGAAATGTGCTTCATCTAAACCTAGATGTACTCTAAGCATAAGATATACACCAGATTTCAAAGACTTAGTTGGGGGAAAAGTGTAAAATATCTCATCAGTAATTTTGGTTATATATTGAAATGACAATATTTTCTGATATAGTGGGTTAAATAAAATACATTATTAAAATGTCATCCTCTTTTTATTTAAGTGGCTACTAGGAAAACTTTAAATTACCTTTGTGGGTGGCATTATGTTTCTATTGGATGGTGCTATTCTAGACCATAAGCTCCATGAGACCCTCCTCTGCTTTGGTCGAAGCTGTATGCCCAGCTTACAGCAAGACTCAGCACACGGTGACTGTTCATAGACATGTGGGGTGTGGATTAATAAAACTTACTATCATATGTACTTGTGTGTGATCCTCTTGAAGGCAGAAACTTTCTTTTTCATCACTGTATCTCTATTCTTAGCACAGTGCCTGACAAATAATTTTTTGAATGGACAAGTGAAACTTCATTCTTCTGGCGCTCTGTTCTCCTACAGAAATGGCACAGTGGTGGTAAATGTAAGGTCTCTAATAAAAAAAAGCAGCAATAGTAAAGATCAACAACAGTTGATATTTTGGGGTTGGCTGAAACATGTCTATTGTTTCTGTACATGTCAGATTCGCAAGTTCAATCCCAAAGACTGTCAATTCAGATGGGGAATATTTTAGAAGACTGGGAAATGGGCAATGTGAAACAGATGGGATAGAATAGTAACATACCCTAAATTTCTCGTTTTCCAGCACAAACAAGCATCTGACAACCTGATATGCTCATGCTATTTATGAAATCAGCCTGCAACATTTTTCACTACTTAATACAGCAGGCAATGGAAAACCAGCTGAGCCGCTCATTAGAAGACAGGTCCCTTTGTTTCTCTGAGCCTTGGTTTCCTCATTTATAAAATGAAGATAATGAAATCTACCTCACTGGGTTGTTGTGAAGATGGAATGAGGTAATTATATCTATAGGCTTACTTAGTACAGTACGTGGCATTTAATCAAAGTTCAATCAGTTGTGGTGATGATTAACACCAGTCCTACTAGGATATCTGCAAGTTAGCAGAGAAGAAAGTGTTGGTGGTGTCACATTAACAGATGAGTCTGTCATAATGACATATCTGTTTTCCTGTTAACCATCAATAAGCTAGATGTGCTCATCCAATAGAAACGGCTGACATTTATTGAGCACACAGTATGAGGCAGGTATTGTGTTAAGCATTTAACATGCATCACCCTATTTCATCCTTACTGTCAGGGATAGGTGCTGATGGTCAAATTACAGAGCCAGAAACTGAGGCTCAAGGAGGCAAAAGAACGTGCTCAATGCCCCACAGTGATTAAGGGACACCATAGAAATGCAATAGGTTCTAAATGATTTCACTAGGCTGCTTTCCAGGGCAGGTGTAGTTAGGTATCCTGGTGACATGGCAGTTGTAGTTAAGGGGACGGAGAGGCCTCTGTGAGCTATTCCTGGTGCACATTGTCAAGACCATCACTGGTCTCCGTCCTCAACCTTGAATGCTGACAGAACTCCTTACATGGGTCTGTCACTGTATCCTTCAAGCTGTTAGGGGCAGAGGCTCATTTGGCTCCCTCTAGTAATGGCACAGTGGTGGTAAATGTAAGCTAATGAAAAACAAAACAAAACAAAAAACAAAAACAAAAACAAAAAGGAGGACGACAGGAGTTTTGGTTACTTGGCCATGCCTCCCAAAAATTCAGGGGGAACCAGACCCCAGGCCTTGTGGAACACAAATGTGGTTTGGAAATTGGAATATCATCCTCCCCCTAGAAAGGTCCTAGAAATGGTCCCTCATCTGCAATGGGAGCTCAGTGCTCTCTGTACCTTGGGATCCTGTGGTAACAGGGACTGAATCCCTCTGTCTCTTCCTGTTTCTGTTCTGCAACCAATTACTCCAGCTCCTAACATATTCACAACTCCCCAAGACAAAAACCTGGTCTTAGCCCTAGAGCAGGGTCACAGGTTAGGGCTGCCCTCAGGTGGCTGTGCTTCCCTAATTCACTGAGCTGTGATTAGGGGGGCCGAGGGGGCTGCAGAGTTGGCAGATACAAAGCCTGCCCTCAAGACACACAGCCCAGTCTGACCAGCCAATCCCAACCTGATTGGGCCACCACCCTCCCCACACAGCAGCCATTTGTAATCAGGTACAGCAAGGCAGTGGCCTCATCAGCCTCTTGTCCCAATTCCCTGGGCCTGGTACCCCAGAGGAAAGCTTCCCACCATCCCATCCACACTGTAATGGAGGCAGCACAGGCTGCCACGAAAGCCCAGAGGTGAGAGGCCCTCCCTTGACTCCAATCACACCTGCCAGGTGAGGCCTTCCCTGCCCACTCAGTTTCAAATGCCACTCCCCCTCTTGCCCCAGACTTCCTGTCTCATTTCTCTGCTTCATTATTTTTTCCCTTAGCCCTTCTCTGGCATAATACACGTTATAGTGCTTTATTTATGGTCTGTCTCTGTCCTCTAAAATGTTAAGTACCATGAAGGCAGGGGTTTGCTCTTTTGCCTTCTTTTGTTGACCAGTTCCTAGGATTGTGCTGCACATAATTGACACTTGGTATGAATGAAAGGAAGGGCAGAGAGTCCAGTCTGGCTGGAGGTTTAGCCAAGAAAAGCTTCCTGAAAGAAGTGACACACGCTGAGTCAGGCCAGGCTCTGAAATGGGAACTGCATTCCAAGCATGTAGGCCAGAAAAAGGAGAGCACATTCAGGAACCTTCAGCAGAAGCATGGAGGGGGCCGATGTTGTTCATGGAGAGTGGCGCGTGGGATGAGGATGGATAGGCGGACGGTGGGCAGTGAGGAGGGCCCCCCAGGTACCCCCAGAGAGTGGGATTTCAATGCTAGCACTGAGGCTCAGATGGGGCAAGGGTGGCAGAGGGCAGGGAAGGGCAGACTGAAGAGGTTGGGCCAGGGGTGAGGATCATTTACAATCTGAAAGTCAACGAGTTATTGACTGAGAACTGTGCTTTGAGTGCAGACCGTGTGCCAGGTGCTGCAGCAAGTACCTACCTCCCTGATATACACATCCCATCATTGTACGAGGTGTCACGCAGCAGATGACTGACACCTCTGCAACTTGATTGGTTGGGCTTACCGGGAAAGACATTTTGATGACACTGGCCAAGCTACAGTCAGTGATCACACCTCTATAGCCCCACTCCTCTCCTTGGCCATTTCAGCAACCATGGCAATGTCACCTCCTCCTTTCTTCCTCAACATTCCATCTCTGCCCCTCCTACAGATCATGGATCAAATGGCAGCAGAGATGCCACAAGACTGAGGTGCAAGGCAGGAAGTAAATTAAGAATACTGTAAGAAACAGAATAAAGGGGAAGGGAACGTGGTGCACGGTGCTACCGAAGCTGGCAGGAAGCAGCCTGGCAATGAGGGGCTGGTCAGGGTGAAAGAAAAGACATCTACAAATGTCAAGTCAATAACCAAAACCTCACTGCAAAAGGATTTTGGCCAAGCTGGGGAAAATGCGTTCATTTTTCACAAGGGGTCTAGGGCCATGGTTGGAGATACTGGCCCAGAGGGTGGTGGGAGGGACCTTCAAGAGAGAGTAGGAGATATCAGGCCCCTGCATAAAAATTCAGGAAAGGGGCAAGGCAGAAATAAGGGCCCCTGCCGGAACTGGTGGGCAGAGTAGACGCTTCAGCCCCAAGAATGCCTCCTGTTTGACGGAGGCCATCAATGTACTGAACTCACAAAGGTAGGCCTGATCACCTGGTTTTGACCTCAGCCCTAATCCAGGTGATTTCAATTTCCATGCAAGGAATGGACAATCACCTTCTCCCTCACCTTTTCAAGAGTTCCTGTGTGGACCATATCTGAAAGACGAGAACAGAGGAGCACCTACCCACAGTGGTGAGGCAGATCCACACATGGCACACCCCTGCCATTACTGTCACTGAACGGAACTCTCAAAGACCAAACCTACCTATAGTAACAGCAACAGAAATCCTGAACCTGGCCTTTGCCTACTTTGGCCCCACAGTTCTCCAAAGAATGGGAGAACCCTGTCCTTGCCATGCCCACCCCTACTCAGAATCATCTCCTGGAAATCCCCAGAGGAACTCCACCCCCAGTGCTCAGGACACCCCTGTCTCCTCCAGGACTTCAGCCCGACTCTGCCTCTCCATCCACCCCACTGTCATACTCTTTTCCAAAGCCCTGGCTCAAAGGTCTTTTAGCCAACGATTCTAACATTTTCCTTTACTCCCAAACCTGAGGCCCCCAGAAGCACTTGGGACGGTTCAACCCCTAGTCCAAACTCTATATCCCATTTCCTATCTGTAGGCCAAGGCTCAGGAGTACGTTAAGTGGAACATCTCAGTGAGTAACAAATGGAAGATCTGCTCATGATCTGCTTTCTTTATACCTACCTTGCTGGCATATGGAGGTGTGGATTTTAAAAAAGAAGAGTAATAACAAAAACAAGCTTCAGGGTAGTTTCAAGATTTATTAGGCAGGTGAGAGGACAAGGATGCACAGTGCTGAAAACTCTTGAAAAGTCAGAGGAAGAGAAGGCGGGGAGACATGGATGCTGCTGGACAACCTGTCCCAGGTCGAAGCAAACCAGTCTTCCTGGTCCATGGCATTCTGACTCCTGCAGGGGGGAACGGCAGAGCCAGCTCAAATCTCTGGCTCCACACCTCAAACTTCCAGGGTCCCAGGGCTTTCCCTCTGGCCTGCTTACACAGAGAGAAAAACCCTTCCATGCTTTGCTGAGGCAACATGGTGAGAAGGTCTGGCAACATTCACATGGCAACAGCTTTCTTCATTATGCTACTCCAATGTCCATGATCCACCCAAACGACAATCTAAAGGAGAAAGTTCAATGAGGCCAGCAGTCCAGAATTTCCATGTCAGAAACACAGGCCAACTTAGCCCCATTGCTAAGCCCCATTAACTCACCATGATGAGGTCCCTGAAGGACAGCTGGGACCAAGGTCAATCCGAGAGCACCAGTGCCTCCATCCCCTCAGGATTCCTCCAACAATTTCCAGATCCAAGGCAGCCCTCCTAGAGTAAGGACGACGCCACAGGGCAGGTGGTCACAACAGGTGTTTGGGTTCCAATGTGATCTCATCTTTTCCAAACTGTTATCAATGATCAATGAGAATGTCCCAGTTAATCAGGCATGAGCTGCTGGTTTATTTTTCACACCAAACACAACTTAAAAATGAATCTTAGTGCTCCCAGAAGAGTCAAAATAAACACTACCTTAAAGAAGGGGCATTTTCAGGGCAAGAACAGATACAGTAATTGGTAGAGATGGTGGGAGAGCTCAAGCTCAGAGACTCTTCCACTGAGCCCGCCAACCACCCCCATCCCACACTGGGAGTGAAGGTCACTAATTCAGCCTGCTGTCATTACACGTACATCCCTGCATCTGTCTCCTCGGTGCTTGTGCTCACCTCAGCGCCAAACTCTTCCCCAGGTTGCTCTCCCCACTCCCACCCAATACCTTCTCATTTCCCGTCACACCCACCCCTTTGAAGGGCTGCCCGGGGCCACCAAATCCAAAAGGCTGCCACCTTTTGAAAATCTTATGGCAATCAGTATAAACCACTCAGTATTGCACAGTGTCATTATGCAGAATTCATCCTGGCTCCTTAAACCCTGTAAAGTATCTAAAAAAACAGAGCCCGGTTTCCCACAAGAGGAGGCCAAGCTGAACAAGGCCAAGCTAAAGTGTCCCATCATGGACTCTCACAAGGCAGTGCTCAATGCCAGAGACCAGAGAGCACTAGTTGGAGATGGGCAGGACTGTGTGAAAGCACCAGCATTTGAAAGGGACAGTGTGGACCCTCCAAACACGGGAAGCTGCTTTCAACAATTCCTCTCCCTGCATTATCAATGACCAGAGCACAGACAGCCCATGATCGCTCTTGAATGCAGGTGCGAGAAGGGCAGAGAGAGAGACCTAGGAAGAGAAGCAGGTGCTACTGGCCTTTGGAATATATTGAATCTGGGACAATCACCCAGCCAAAATAGGACCTCAAGAGTAGCCATTCTTGCAAAAGCCCCATAGAACCTCCCTGCCAAAGGGAATCAAAGAGAAGTCACTTTGGGCAAAAATGCTGGGAAAATATTAGGGCTGGAAATGATAGGAATCCTGTGGTCTTAAGCAGCACAGAAGTCATCTCTATGATTAAGTTTGTTTTTTAAATGAAGAGAATAAGGTTCTGAACAGGTCCCTGAGAGAGTAGCACAAGAGGATTCAAAGCCAGGGACAGGAGTCTCCAATATGAGGGTGCCATTTCCCATCACAGCATGCTTCTGCTGTCCTGGAGAGCTCTCATTACCCAGTGAGACCCTGGAGGCCCTTCCTCTGCAGCAGCCCTGAGGACGTATTAAAGGACAGATGTGATCTAGGTTGCCTGGGATTGAGGGAGCAGATCTGGAGACTCATAGACATTACCTTCTCACCTCTCAGTTCCCTTATACATTCATACAAAGCCCCTAGGAACCCACACACGACTGTACTAGATGCAAGGAACCAACATTCCAGAGAAGAAACAAGAGATCTTACCTCAAGGACACTGGGGTCTAGAATGTTCCTGATACAACTCCCATGACTCTTCTGCACACAGTGGGCTCATCTGCAACAGATAAGAACCCAAGAATGGGCATCGAACTTGTCCCTGCACACAGCAGGGCATGCTAGGCATCAGGAAAGGGCTTAACACAATAGTTATTGGATAAACCAAGCATTCGACAAATGTTGGCTCTTGTTATTTCCTTAACACGTTACGTATCTCCTCATAGAAATGACAGTAGTTAACTCTGAAGAGGGAGACAGTGTGTGCTCTACGATAGGGTGACCATTGCTGATTAACGCTTCATTAACCAGTGACAGGCCAAGGCTAGATATACAGGAGCATACCATGGCTGCCCCACAGCACTTATACTGGGCATCAAGGAAACCTCCAGTAACACACATAGCCTGGTTCCCAACAGCAGGGGCAGAAAGTGAAAGCCCCAACAATGACACTAATGCACACACAGGGCCCCCGAGGCCCAAGGTGTCTGCGGAGAAGATGGAACGTGGTAAAACTGGAAGGTGAGGATGTGGATCCTCCAAACAGAGGACAACCCTCCCCTGAATCTTCTCCCTGCACCATCAATGAGCACGACACTGGCACCAGGTGACAGGAGACATCTAAAAGGTGGTAGGAAAGAGGAAGTGCAGAATGCTCCAGGTTTGGAAGGGACAGGAAGGGTCCCTTCAAACACGGGGAAGCGCTTTCAAAAAATCCTTTCTCTGCACCATCAATGACCTGGACCCGGGCAGCCCATGTCAGCAGCCTGCTATCTTCCCAGGCAGGGGAAAGCTGCCCCGCCAAGCCCAGGACCCCGAGCACCATCAGCACTTCGTGCAAAGATCCCACCTCCCGTCACCCACGGGAAGACCAACTCCCGGCAAGATCGCCTCCACTGCTTATTCACCCCACAAACACAGCCCTGAGAACCTACTACGTGCCGGGCAGTGTGGCCTCAGAAACAAAGGACCCCCGCAAGGACTCTTGTCCCTCCAGAGCTCTGGCACGCTCCGCACTTGCAAGAAGCTGAAGCGCAGGACCAGGAAGTGATGAGCCCAGGTTATGTGGCCGGCCCCGGGCTGAGGCACGATCTGAACCCGGCCCCCTCCGGCCTCCTACCACACCAGGCCTCCTCCCAAGAACCCGAGCTCCAGGGACCGCCCCCCCCCCCCCCCCCGGCCCCTCACGCGCAGCAGCACTTACCCAGGCCTCAGCCCTGCACACAGGGCCGGCCTCGGGCGCCGCGCATCACGGTCCCGCAGAGCCCGCCCGCCGGCCCGGGCACCAGGAGCGGGGGGAGGCGGGAACCACCCTCGGCCGCTCGGGGCCCGGCGGGCGCCGCCGACTGGAGGCCCGGACTCGCGCACCCCCCTCCCGAGCGCCGCGGACCGCAAGGTGGGCCCAGGCGGCTCCGCTCACCTGGTAGGCAGCCGACCGACGGCTGGGGGCGGAGGGGCGCGTGCGCGTGCGCATCCCCGGCCGCGGTCGGCCTCGGCTGCGCACCCGCCGCCCGCGCTCAGCGGGACCGTCCCGGGAGCCCCTTCCTCCAGGACCCGCCTCCCAGAGGCCCGCCCCGGAGCCAGCGGCGGGGCCTGGAACCGGGGCTGACCTCCGCCGGCTCTCCGCGCCCGCCCCGGGCCTCAGTTTCCCCTCCTGTCGGGGGGAAGAGGAGTGCAGCACCAGCCTTGGAGGCCGCCGGGGTCCCTGCGCAGCGCGGCCCTGCAGTCACTCACCCGGGGCACCGGGACCGTCGCGGCGGGGACAGGAGGAGACGCTGCGGCCCGGCTCGAGACGGCTCGGGACCAACGCGAAGGGCCGCCGCAGCCGCAGCGACACCCTCCGCCCACCCAGCGCCGGCGGAAAGGCACCTGGAGCGTGGGCTGCGGCCGAGAGCCGCGTCTGCGGAGCTGCACCAGCGCGCGGGCTCTTCGCGCCCCCTCGTGCATAGGAGGTGCAATTCGAGCGGCCCGGACCGCAAGCATCCCTACATCTTCCCATCACCCCGTGCACCCATCCGTCCATTCATCCGGAAAATATTTAGGGAGCGTTCTCATCCATCCATCCACCCACACGCTCCTCCATTCATTCGTGTATATGTTCATTTACATTCCCACCCACCCAGAAAAATCTACAGAGCAGCAACTTCATATCAGAGACTGTGCTAAGCATTGGAAATGCATTGAAGATAGACAGGCTTCCTGATTTTTTTGTTGTTAAGTTCTCGTGGAGATATGAGCCAGCGAATGCAATAATTAAAAATCATGGCAAGTACTACAAAGGAAATGGGCAGGGTGGTACAATGGTGGGGTTCTACTTAGCCAGAGTGGACAGCAAGGGCCTGCCTGAGGGAATACCAGTGTTTTACATAGCATGATATCTGTCACTGCAATGCCCCATCCCGTCAACAGTACAAAGGACACCACTACTATAATGTCAAATAATGACTAAGTTTTAAGTACACATAATATTCCAGGATTTTGATCTATTTAACTGTCGTATCAGTCCTATAAGGTAAATATGATTATTATCTATTTTGCTGATGAGGGAACAAAGGCTCAGACAGTTTAATTAATGTGCCCAAGATCATGCAACTAATATGTATTAAGAACTGTGCATTCATGATCTGAGAGCAAACCCTCCTTGCAAGCTTACCCGTTAGCCTACTGTGTCGTAGATGTTAGCAGAGGTCACAAAATTCCTGAGTCAGAGTCTTAGGACCTTATTATTGTGGCAAAGCAGAGAGAGCTTTACGTTCATTCATGTTGGTTCTGGTGCCTTGTAGGCCCCATGGGATGGTGTACCGGGCGTGATGGCTGCTGCACACACAGTGTGTTTCAAGAGAGGGACACTGAGCTTAGCGGATTCACTACTCATCACAAACAGAAGTAACCCTGGTTTTAGTCTGGGAGGAGAGTTTATCCATCGTTCAAAATTGCTCCCTGCAAAATGCAACTCTGAGGAAGGGCTTAGGTAAAGAGGAGTCAAGGCCTTGGATTCTTATCATATCCAGGAAGAATATGCATAGGTGCTCAGGACCCATGGCAGATTGCTGCCCCTAAGGTAGGCATCAGAGTTAAAATTCAAATCCAGGAATCAATCTAAGAATTTATTTAATGCTTGAAAATATGTTTGGTAATATTTAATTTCTTTTTGGGGGGTAGTATTTAGTTTCTATTACTGGTCAGAAAAGTGTATTTTGGCATACTTGGATTAAAAATATGTTTTCCTCGTGTAATACAGACCATCACCAACCAATAATGCCTACATTGAGAGGCATTCTCAGAAAACTACGTATTTTCATGTGACTCTAAATATGTAAGTGGCTAGGACATTCAGAGTTTGGACCTACTCACTCTTCTCCCTGATTCCCTGTGGCACTCTCCCTGTTGAATTCAACCTTGTTGGGAATGTCACTTATGATGTCCCACCCTCCTTTGACAAAAGGTTGGATGTGGGACCTAAGCTGGGAAAATGATACTTCCCCCCTTGATTTTTCATGGTGAGTGTGAGGAAGCATGGTTTCTAAAGCAGCCTGGAGGCTTGTGCTGTGGAACCATAAATAGAGTCAGTCTTCTATCAATTTCCAAAAGGTGGCTTCTTGGTAGTGGTGTGTTTTGGCAGGATTTTGAAGGGCTCCTGTAGAAAGGGGGGAACAGAGAGACATTCACAGAAAGGAAGAGGAAGACTCAGAAACTGAAGTGGGGGGAGAGGTGGGGAATGAGTATGTGAAGCATTTAGGAACTGCATGGGATCATAACATCTCACTGCATGGCAATAGATGAACTTTAGGGCACCTGGGTGGCTCAGTCGGCTAAACATCTGCCTTTGGCTCAGGTCATGACCCCAGGATCCTGGGATCTAGCCCTGTATCAGGCTCCTTGCTCAGAAAGAAGAGAGAGAGTGAGAGAGAGCATGAGAGAGCTCTCTCTCTCTCTCTCTCTTGCACACACTCTGTCTCTCTCAAATAAATAAATACTTTAGAAGAGAATTGAGGAGCTTCAAATGTTGATACAGGAGAAGAGAAATCCTTATTATTGCTATGAAAAACAACTCGCCTAATTCTAAAGTGTAAGAAAAACTCCACGTGGCCCAGTCGGCTCCAGAGGGCATAAAATAATAAGAAAAAAAGACAATTGAACCAATCCAAGTATAGTAAATCAATGACATTACAAAAGCATAACGTAAAATGGCAGAAAATGAGCATAACCACATCTGGAGCAGCAGCGGCAAACCCTTTTAGGAATGAGAGAGGAGTTGGAGTGCAGTCAGACCAGAGAGTAAACAATCAGAGAAAAATAAAATTTTAAACTTAGATGAACACATTCCTGGGACTCCTGAGTGGCTCAGTGGTTGAGCATCTGCCTTTGGCTCAAGTCATGATCCCGGGGTAATGGGATCGAATCCCGCATTGGGCTTCCCCCAGGGAACCTGCTTCTCTTTCTGCTTATGTCTCTGCCTCTCTCTGTGACTCTTATGAATAAATAAATAAAATCTTAAAAAAAGATGAACACATTCCTGAAAAATATATAGCAAAATCGCCTTAAGGTAAAATAGAAAACCTGACTCATCTCAGAGCACTTTAAAATGATGAGTCGGTAGTTAACAATATTTCCTTAAAGAAGACATAATACCCAGCTTTTCTGCCTTACGCAGTCTCCCAGATAATAGAAAAAAAGGGAGTCGTTCTCAGTTCACAGAATAACCATGGTCCCCAAATTAGGCAAGGTCAATAAAAGGAAAATAAATTACAGTCCCTCTCATGAGTATAGATGTAAACATCTTTAAAAATATATTGGCAACTTTTGGGTGGAAGCAGCCCTCGCCCCCAGTGCCTTCAGAGGGCACTAACTGCACTCCTGTCTTGTGAGCGTCTTTTCTTTTTAAAAATATTTATTTATCTGAGAGAGAGAGAGAGAGAGAGAGAGAGAGAGAGAACGCTTGAGTGGGAATGGAGGGGCAGAGGGAGAAGCAGACTTCCCCCACTGAACAGAGAACCCAATGTGGGACTCGATCCCAGGACTCTGGAATCATGACCTGAGCCAAAAGCAGATGCTTACCCAACTGAGCCACTCAGGTGCCAATGAATGTCTTCTGACCATTGATGTCAGACATCTGACCTCCAGAATAGTGACAGAATAAATTTCTGCCATTTTAAGCCACCCAGTTTGTGGTACTTTGTTATGGCGACCTTAGGAAATTAATACAACAGACATAACTTAAACGTTTTTTCTACCACGTTTTAGCTGTAGTAGCAAGTGACTTAATCTTTCTGAACCTCAGTTTTTAAACTTTAAAATAGGTAGAATATGCAAATTGGTGCAGCTGCTATGGAAAATAATATAGTATAGCAATTGCTCAAAAAGTTAAAAATAAAATTACTCTATGATCCAGCAATTCCACTTTAGGGTATATTCTTGAAACAATTAGGAATGTGATCTGAGAGATACTTGTCTACCTGTATTCATAGCAGCACTGTTCACGATAGCCAAAGGTGGAAGCAACTCAAGTGTCCATCAACAGGTGAATGGATTTTAAAAATGTGACACACACACACACACACACACACACACACACACACACCAATGGGATATTACTCAGTCTTAAGAAGGAAATTCTGACATATGCCACAGCATGGAAGAACCTTGAGGGCATGATGCTAAGTGAAATAAGCCAGACATAAAAGATGAAATACTGTATGATTCTACTAACATGAGGCACCCTGAGTAGTTAAGTTCAGAGAAGAAGGGAAATGGTGGCTGTCAGGGGCTAGGGAAGTGTGGAATGGGGAATTGTTGTTTAAAGTGTACAGTTTCAGTTTAGCGAGATAAAAATTCTGGAGACTGCACAACAGTGTGAATGTACTGGATACTATTGAACTGAATATTTAAGAATGGTTAAGATGGTAATTTTTATGTTATGTGTATTTTACTGCAATTAGAAAATTTAAAGGCAGATAAAATAATATATTGAAACTCAATACCATAAGTGCTTTTTAAAAAATAGGTGTTGGACTATAGGAAGGCAGTTTAATAAATTTTAGTATCATCATCACCTGATAAAAACTAATATCCATTCGTAACTTTCAAAAATTCTTAGACTTCTTGAAATAGAATATATAAGTAAACTATCTGTCAATATTCTACATAATGGTGGAATCATAGAAACATTCCTGTTTTCTTCCTGGAAGTCCCAGAGAAATAGCCAGAGTGGGAGGAGGGAGGGCATGTCTGATGCCCTTGGTCAGGAAAACCCAAGGTCTTAAGAGTGAAAAATTGATGTAGTCAGCTACCAGGGCAAAAGATCATGGGGCAAAGTCAAATATCATCCTGGAATGCCTAAGTGTTCGAGCAAAAAAGTTAACCCAGGAAAGTTTAAGTAATGAACCACAAATATCTCAGTGATTTAGTTAGCAAGAAAGGTCCAGGGCTGTTGTTCAGGGATACCCAAGTAAATTAGCTATGATCATCCAGATTGAGTAGTCACATGGTTGTTTTCAAGGATTGTCCACAACGGATATAAGGAAAGTCCAGGGTCCCTGTAAGGCTATCAATCTTTACTTGGGATTCCAGTTCTTAAGGGCCCAGGGTTGCTAGTTTCCGGAGGGAGGAGGCCAGCTCTTTTTATGCCTGTTTCCATGGCAGGGGCCCGATCCATTCATCTCTTTCCTGAGCCCACACCGAGTCCCGCTCCAGAACCAGAGGTCCACAGCCCAGGACAAAAATGAACCAGAAGCAAAACTAGTATGAAATACGGTGTGAGGGTCAGAGGACCCAGCTAGGGGACCTAGGGAGAAGGAGGGATGGAGAACTAGGTGGAAGCCTACTCTGGTGGGAAGCATCCAGTGAGGTCCTGGGGCTGTTGGAGACCCTAAAACAGGCCAAGACCCAGACCATGGACAGCTGAGGAAGAAGAGTCCGTTGTGCTTGAGAGGCCTTGAGGGGTCAGACTGGCCATGGCTTCCACTGGGCCTCAGCCCCACCTTGCAGGAGCTGGAGTCGATTCCCTCTGAAAGAAGCAGTAACAGAGAAGCAGCAAGAAGGAAATGAGGATGATGAACAGAAACAGCAAGACTTCTAGCATGGCGATCATTCTTAATGCAGGGACAGACAGGGCCTGGGGCTCCTGCAGAACTTCACAGGGTTGATTCTGGACTACCAGCTTGGACCCTGGGCATCACCTCCTTGGAGCAATCTGTCCAGCAGCCACAGCTCCATTTCCCCAAGAGAAGGGGCTCCAAGCCATGGAGATCTCTCAGCCACTGTGAGGTCACAAACTCCAGGATGGTGGAATGTTGGCCTCCTAGCTATAGCCCAAATCTTTCTTAATGAGACCAGTATGTTGAAAAGCAGGATTCATGGTATGTAATTATACCTTTTTTTTTTTACTTGCCTCTTTAGACTTTCTAAATAGAGGAAGTATCTTTTTCCTGTCTTTAGAAAAATATCAGGCAGGCCTCATAGCTTTTCTTAGGTACTAAGTCTTTTTAAACGCTGAAAATAGTGAACACTGTTTCCACTCAATTATTTTAAATGCCAGTCTAATATATTAATCACATTTTTAGCGATAATAGCGACTTCTCTCACCATCTGGGGCCAAGCGCAGGGTGGGCTGCTCTCTGCTGAGAGTGGAGGGGAGACTTCTCCCTTACCCAACATGTGTCTCTCTTCACCAGGAGGACTCCTCTTACTTTCCTACCCCAGTATCTCCAGGATCAGAACAGGTGGCATAAAGATTGAGGTGGAGGGGAGATTTCTCTCCAGGTTGGACACATATTTAAGATAGGTCTTTCTCTCTTGGCCTCTATTTCAGGGGTTCTTTGAAGAACCTACCCTTTGTCCTAGGGATATGAACAGGCCAGTTCCTTCCAGGTGGTCCCCTCCCCCTGGCAGGCTCCCTCTCGGGCAGGACCTCTTGGGTAGCAGGCGGACATTCTGACACTGGGAGAGCTCTCGCACCCTGAGCCCTCAACCACCAGCCGGGGATAGGTTCTTGACTTGGCCGCGAGAAAGCATTCGAGGACCAATCAGAGTAAAGTAGAGCAGAGAAGCTTTATTGCAAAGCAAAAGTACACACTCGAAGAGGAGGTTGTGCAGGTGCACTCAGGGAGGCAGTCATGAGCAACCGGCGGAATACATACACGTAGGGCTCTGGAAACAGTTGCAAGAACTCGGTAGAGCATCACGCAAGCTCGAGACTAGTGACTATGCGCAGGCGCAGTCTGAGTCTCCTCTCGCCGTCACGCGGTAGGGAAGGTCTCCTCGGAGTCCTCGAGCGCCCCCAGTGGAGGGGTCCGTCTCCGTCCGTGGCGGGCTAACTGGGGCTTTTGCGCATGCGTGCCGCAGGTGCCCAGCGTGTGGCGTCTCTGCGGGTTTTTACCGCCACGAGTATCCTGTTATCCAACAGGTGTAAGGTCGGCTCCGTGTTCCTTGTCCTCCTTCCTGCTGCCGCTTCCCAACATTTCCCTATTCTACCTGCCTCACTACCACCGATGCTACATCTGCTGAAGAAAATGATGAGCGTTGGACGGAGGAGTGGGTCACACCTGGCTCCCCTGAGCTCCCTACCAGGGTAGCAGGTATCCAGCTCCCACGGGGTTCTGCCGCAACCCCAGGTCCTCCTCTTGTTCTCTCTCTTGGGGGCAAGGGGTGGTGGTGGTGTGGGACTATTTTAAGAAATAGAACACATAATTCTCCCTCTTTTTAATGTCTAACGAGCAGTCACTGCTCAGTTATTTTCTTCCTAAATTCTGCATCCGGTCCAACACCTTCTTTGGAAGGCAGCTGCCATTTTATCAGATGGAACCCTCAGAAATGGCCAATATTGGGCCACAGTTTGCTTACCACAAGGGCAATTTCTTGTTGCTTAGCTTTTTATTCCTATATCGTGGTGACTCTTTGGTGCCTTGCTGCAATGCCCATTGTAGCATCTTGTTATGCTGATGATTAACAAGCCTCAGCTCCACCTCTTAGACGCTCAGCCTCATCTCGGTACTGGGGATGCACAAAGAAACTGCCCCAGATCCCTTCCCTGGCATCGTGAGAGCAAAGGGTGCAGGAGAATAATCTAGGATTGAATCGTGGCTCTACCCTTTTACAATCTTCTTAGGGCACCCTTGCCTTAATCGCCAGCTTGGGACAATAAGGCCCCCAGCCTGAGCCAGGCAGGGAGGCCCGTCTCCTCCTAGGATGTCCCAGACTCCTGGGGGTGCTGGGAGCTGTGGAAGGGACATGCTCTCAGCCTCCTGCTTGCTGCTTCTCTCCTCTTGCTGCAAAGAGTTGATCAAAGGTAGATGGCTTTAGACCTGGGCTGATGAACCTAGGAGCTGGCAGCCACTGAGGCTTATGGAGCACTGGGAATGTAGCTGGTCCAAATGTCAGTGTTACACATGCATCCGATTCTGAAGACTTTGTTCAGAGAAAAAAGATAGCAAATATCTCATTAATAATTTAAAGATATTTAAAAATGGTGAAATGACAAGATTTTGGTTATACTGGGTTAAATAAAATATACTATAAAAATTAATTTGGGGATCCCTGGGTGGCTCAATGATTTAGCACCTGCCTTTCTTTAAAAAAATTAATTTCACTCTTTTTTTGTACCTTTTTAATGTGGCTCTCAGAACATTTTATTTTTATTTATTTATTTTTAAAGATTTTATTTATTATTTGAGAGAGAGTGTGTGCATAAGTGGAGGTGGGGGGCAGAGGGAGAAGCAGACTCACCTGCTGAGCTGGGAACCTGAAGTGGGGCTCCATCCCAGGACCCTGGGATCATGACAAGCTAAATGCAGACGCTCAATCGACCGAACCACCCAGGCACCCCAGAACATTTTAAATTAAATATGTGGCTAGCATTATATTTCTACTGACAGTGCTGCCTTAGACTTTTCAAACATAGCACATTCTCTCAGGCTCATAAATAATCCCACAGTGTCCTCCCTGTGACAGAAGACCTTGACTTTCTCAGAAATATTAAAGTATGGCAACTAGTACGCTTGACCATTTGCTCTGTGCTTTGGTTTCGATATCAATCATTTCACATTATTCTTGAAGCAATGCTTTGAGGGGAAAGCTATGATTTTGTCCACTTTTCAGAACAGGAAAACTCAAGCTAGGTAGAGGAGTTGGGTCATTTAGTCAAGGTCACACAGAGCATATAAGCAAGAACAGGAGGCAGGAGAGGACACCTGACCCCGTGGTACAGCGTCTTCATAGCTATAGTATCCGTGGTCCCTGCTCATCAGAGAGTTCCCCAATGTTCTCACAGTCTTGAAATCCCACAGACTCCTTCCAGGTACGCAGTATGGAGAAGCTCACCTTCAGAGATTCCTCCCACCCTCTCGGTTGTATCCCTTGGGCCTGGATTTCCCCACTGTGCTGACCTAGTCAGTACCAGGAATCTGAGCGGGGGTGGGGGGGACCCCTCTCCTCGGGCTGTTTATACTTCAGAATGTGGGCTGAGTTAGTGCCAGGATTGCCTCAGGTTCAAGACGAACACGTGGCCCAGGGTGCAGGCAGTTAGTGCTTGTGAGATTTGGGAGCCACAAGCCCCCTGTCTGCAGTGTCCTGCTGGGAGCATGGGGCCTCTGTCTTCTTTGCCACTGTGCAGATCTGATCAAGTCCCTCCTGCTTCAAGGACTCATTCTGGGGACAAAGGTTAGCAGAACACCCGCCCATCTCTCTAGGTTTATCTCCTTGTCACTCTCACGTTCCACTTTCAAGTCATCAGAACAATATTTTAACCTGGCGATGTCCAAATATATGGTCAGAATTCGTTCATTTGTTCAATTGTGCCAGCCCCCAAAACGAGGTACTGTGAATGCAGTGGTCAATCAGGCAAGAACCCTATTGTCCAAAATACCTGCAATTAACAGGAGCTCTTGGTAATAACAGCTCCTTACGTGGACGAGTAACCATTTCTATGACTTAGTAACAAACCAGTGGCCAAAACAATAAAGAGAAAAGCAATATAAGTGAGAGAAATGTTATTTCCAAAATTTCAGGCTGTTCTTGAAAATTATCGCAAGCCCCACGGAGTCTCAGAATTTGACCTCCCCGCCACCAGGGGGCGCGACACGACCGCGCGCGCGCGATCCGCCCCTGGAGGCGCCGCTCTAGGCCGCAGCCCGCGCTCCCGCAGCCCTTCCGCGGGCGCCGGGCGGGTGAGGAGCGTCGCGTCGCGTGCGGTCCCGCGCCACCCGGGTCCATCTGCCGCAATCCTCAGACATCCGCAGCCCCCCGCGCCGTAGCTCGCGGCGTCCGGGGTGAGTCCGGGGCGGGGATCGCCGGGCGCGTGGTCTCTGGGCTCCCACCACCTTAAGGGGAAACTGAGGCCCGGGGCGGGCGCGGAGAGCCGGCGGAGGTCAGCCCCGGTTCCAGGCCCCGCCGCTGGCTCCGGGGCGGGCCTCTGGGAGGCGGGTCCTGGAGGAAGGGGCTCCCGGGACGGTCCCGCTGAGCGCGGGCGGCGGGTGCGCAGCCGAGGCCGACCGCGGCCGGGGATGCGCACGCGCACGCGCCCCTCCGCCCCCAGCCGTCGGTCGGCTGCCTACCAGGTGAGCGGAGCCGCCTGGGCCCACCTTGCGGTCCGCGGCGCTCGGGAGGGGGGTGCGCGAGTCCGGGCCTCCAGTCGGCGGCGCCCGCCGGGCCCCGAGCGGCCGAGGGTGGTTCCCGCCTCCCCCCGCTCCTGGTGCCCGGGCCGGCGGGCGGGCTCTGCGGGACCGTGATGCGCGGCGCCCGAGGCCTGGGTAAGTGCTGCTGCGCGTGAGGGGCCGGGGGGGGGGGGGGGCGGTCCCTGGAGCTCGGGTTCTTGGGAGGAGGCCTGGTGTGGTAGGAGGCCGGAGGGGGCCGGGTTCAGATCGTGCCTCAGCCCGGGGCCGGCCACATAACCTGGGCTCATCACTTCCTGGTCCTGCGCTTCAGCTTCTTGCAAGTGCGGAGCGTGCCAGAGCTCTGGAGGGACAAGAGTCCTTGCGGGGGTCCTTTGTTTCTGAGGCCACACTGCCCGGCACGTAGTAGGTTCTCAGGCTGTGTTTGTGGGGTGAATAAGCAGTGGAGGCGATCTTGCCGGGAGTTGGTCTTCCCGTGGGTGACGGGAGGTGGGATCTTTGCACGAAGTGCTGATGGTGCTCGGGGTCCTGGGCTTGGCGGGGCAGCCGGGGGCGCGGAAGGGCTTCTCTTCCTGGCTCGCCGTGTGTCTTTTGTGCACCTGCATTCGAAAGTGATCGTGGTCTGCCGGTGTCCTGGTCATTGATAGTGCAGGGAGAGGAGTTGCTGAAAGCGCTTCCCCGTGTTTGGAGGGTCCGCTCCTGTCCCTTCCAAACTCTGGAGCTTTCCCACACTTGCTCCCCCTCACCACCTCTCAGGCGCCTCCGGGTGCCTGCCGTCTTGCATGCTCTCTGTGCCTGGCTCGGGGAGGTTTCTGTCTCTGAGGCTGTAAAGGGGGAGCAGGGTGTGGGTCCTTGGGTCCTCCCTCAGTGCATGTCTGAGTTGGTTGTCTGGTCTTCTGACACTGGCTTCTGATTTCAGCGGCCCGGTGTCCCTTTCTGCCCCTGTGTTTCAGGTGATTACGGGCTGCCTCTGTCCTGGTCATTGGTAACACAGGCTGAGGAGAAGCTGCAAGGTTTTCTTGATGTTCACAGGTTCCAAAATGGGACAGCCTGAGGTGACGGAGCACGACGAGGTAGGTGGAGGGAGGCGGGCTTTTAGTGCTTTCACCTCCTCAGACCAGATTCCCCCAGCGTTTTCCTGTTAGTGAGCATAGTTGTGTAAAGCAACGCCAAGTGCTTCTTGTCCCCCGCAGGAGGGTCTCATGACTGCTGTCCCACATATGTGAGAGGTGACCTCCGGGAGAAGCTGGATCGGGAGGTCCCAGGTGAGTGGTGTCCTGCCTGGGTCTCTAGAGCTTAGGGCTGTGAGGCCACAGGTGTTCAGGTGATGTGATGTGGAAATGAGTGCAGGTAAAGGCTGCTTCCCAGTGTTCCCAGCTGTCTGTCCTCTCAAGCAGGTCTGGGCCCTCTTCTCCTGAGAGCCCCCAGTGAAGGCTTCTGTGACCTGGAAAGCAGCAGTGTGGGGATGGACAGAGGGCTGCATTTTATTTTATTTTTTAAAAGATTCTTTGTTTATTCATGAGAGACATAGGAAGAGAGATGCAGAGACATAGGCAGAGGGAGAAGTAGGCCCCGTGCAGGGAGCTGATGTGGGACTCGATCCCGGGACTCCAGGATCACACCCTGCACCGAAGGCAGACGCCCAGCTGCTGAGCCACCCAGGCGTCCCAGAGGGCTGCATTTTAGAGGCAGACTGAGATTTGTATTGGGTGCATGGCTGAGTGCTTTTATATGAGCCTGAGCGCTGTTAGGTGACCACTTACACTGTCTTCCAGAACCCACGAATCCTCAGTATTTCTGCACTGTTTGTTTTCCCTTCATCTCCTCGGTGGGCGTGGTAAACTTCTGTGTGAGTAAGGGAAAGCTTCTGTGATCTCAGGCTGTTAGTCTGGGCATTGGCCTGTGTGCCAGGCTCCTAGTTCAGGCCAGTTCCCGGGTTGCTGCCCAACCAAGCCTCCCTTCTTGGCCTACTCACTTCCCTTTTCTGCTCCTGCATTCGAAAGTGATCGTGGGCTGCCTGTGCCCTGGTCATTGATAGTGCAGGGAGAGGAATTGCTGAAAGCACATCCCCGTGTTAGAAGGGCCCATCCCATCCCTTCCAAACCCTGGAGCTTTCATACACGTCTTTCTTCCCACAAATTTGTGTTAATTCCTGGTACGCGGGGCTGTGTGGCTTGCCTAGTGCCCTTTTTGCCAAGCAGGGCCCTGCCTTGGTACTTCTGTTCCTGGGCCAGTGGTAGAGCCATGATGGAGGTCCCTCTTCTCCCAGGGCTCCCCCCAGGAAGCTTTCCCTGCCTTCGCATCCCACCCTTCCCACTCCCTCACCCCATCTATCAGCCCGGGTCACACTGGACATTGGTGATTTGCTTGTCATGCCTCTTTTGCTGTGGTCTTAAGGTTAGTGCCTCTGCCTTGGTGTCTAATCTGTAGTACTTGGACAGGGCAAAGCAAGGCGGAGGAGACTGAGGTGCCACATGGTAAGGCAATGAGCCCATCCCATTGTACAGTGTCACTGGGAAGACAGCGCCCCAGAGCAAGCCAGCCTGCTCAAGTGGAGGCATCCTCCTCTTCTTGGAAGTGTTTCTCTCGTCTTGGTCATGGGCTGGACCCACGGTGCCCAGGGGATGGTGTTTCTCTGTCCTTAGATTAAGGGGCAGGGAATGGAGTAGTAATCCACCTGGGCAGAACACATGATAGTTGGCACATAGGTAAGCTACCCTTACACACTAGGTGGAGGACCCAGGGCCCTCCCACCACCTGTTTCCCCTCTCATCCCAGGCTTGTGGCTTCCTGTCAGCATGGCACTCTCCCTAAAACTTGGCCTTGACAACCTTTTGGCATAAACTGGTTAGCAACAGATTGAACACAGGCACATAGGTTGATGTTGATGTTATCCTGTCACAGATCATCTGCAGACCCCTTTCTAGAGTTAAGTTTTTGTTCCTGAGATAGTAGTGTGGGACCGTTAAGGAATAGGAGTAGGCCACGTTTGTGGGTACTCTAATCTGCTAGCCACTGTGCCGGGTGCCTTCTGCCCACTGGGGCCTGCCGAATGCTCATCTGTGCCTTGTGTTTTGTAGGTGGGTCTGCACTTGCAGAGGCACCACGAGAGGTGTCATCTCTTCAGCTGGGCACGAGACCATGGGGCCCAAGGTAAGGTGTTCACATCTCTCTGGAATCTTGTGCCTTGGGGTTTAAATGAGGAAGTGAGATGAAAGTGTATATCTTGTGAGCTCCCAGTTGTCCCCTCATTGTGGGCAACCCCTCAAGTACCAAGAGGGGATGGGCCTCTAGAGAGCTGCTCAAGTAGGTGAGGGGCTTCCTAGGGCAGCTCCTAGTGTTAGCAGTGGGCCCTGATGGATAGCATGTGGATTTAGGCACCAGAGACCCTGGTCCAGCCTCTGAAATTACTTAGTTTTGTGACCTGTTCTCAGTCTCCACTTCATCAGCAAAGCATAACTGGGATAATGGTGAAATGTTTTAAAATTTTTTTCATGGAGTTGTTGTGACCATATGATCCTGATTTTTTCCAACTCAAAAGCATTTCTGAATTTTTTTTTTTAAAGATTTATTTTAGAGAGAGAGCGCGCGTGCATGCAGTGGGAAGGAGCAGATGGAGAAGAGAGAGAGAGACTCTCAAGCAGACTCCACACTGAGCACAGAGCCCCCAACATGGGCACGTTCCCACAACCTGTGAGATCATGACTTGAGCTGAAACCCGAATTGGGCACTTAACCAACTGAGCCACCCAGGTATGCCAGCATTTTCAGTGTTTTATGCTGGAAGTGTCTTGACTCTTTGGCACGGAGGTGTTACAGGGTCTCTACAGGGTACACAGAAGCTCTTCTCTGTTTGGCTAGGGCTGCTCACCCTCCCTCAGGCCATTACCCAGACCGCTGGCACCATCCTCCCCATCCTTCCGGGCTCTCTTTCTGTCGTTTTCTGCTCCTGCATCCAAGAGTGATTGCAAGCTACCTGTGCCCTGGACATTGATTGGGCGGAGAGAAGAATCACTGAAAAAATTCCTGTGTGTGAGGGATCCAGCTGTCCTGGAGCTTTCTCATGCTAGCTTTTTTTTCTCCTGCTGTTCCCTTCAGAGCTTGGGCTTTTGTTGGCTTCTATGTGATGTGGTGACTGGGCTAGCCCCCTGACCTGTTGGGGGCTCTTTCTATCTTTTCACGTTACAGATCCTCTTGTCAGCAGTCAGTCTACACGTTTCTGTATGGGTCTCTCACTGGAATAAGTCCGTATAGCACTCAATGGCACTCATGAGAATTGCAAATCCTGGGTTCTGCTTTACGAATTTATGGGAGTGGAGGCTAGCCCATAAGAGCACATTAGTCAGGACAGTGTGTGGACGTATTGCTCACGTGTGTTTTGTCTTTGCTCCTTTACTCACAGTGTGGATTCCTTCAGGAGCTGTCAGTAATGTTAAATAAATAAAGAAAATCTAGATGGGGCCTGCACTAGGGGCATAAGGGAGTTATAATGTCATGGTCTGCCAGCAGTTGGAGTTTTCTTGTCAGTCACTGATGGAGGAGAGTGTTGACTTACAACCTTGCCTGTTGCTCGCCTTTCACTGACTTCGTCTGTGTCTTCTGGGTTCTTTTAGAAAGGGTAACCCTAGGGGTTGACTGGAGAAAAAACTTCCAGGCCTGTGGATCTTTGAATCTGTATTGTAGACTGCGGACTTCCTAGCCTGCTCTCTAGTTCACATCTGTGAGGATATTGTCGTGACTGGATGCTTGGTGTGGTCCTCCATCCACAGCAGGCTGACTGGCTGCTGCCTTTTGTCCTGTGCACTGCCGATGTGTTCAGGGAGCAGAAACCCTGCAACGGTGCTTTCACTTTGTATACTTAGATACAGCGTGGTGCCCCTGACAGATACAACATGGTGACGCTAAGAGCCATGTCTTGGTTCCCAGGTAACAAGGGCAGTGAGGTTCGAGGTGAGGTCAAGGTGTCCATCGCATTGACCCCCCTCCCCCAACTTTTTCGGGGCTTCTGTCTCGTTCCCGAGACCTCTACCCTTTATATTCAGGTATTGTGTTTGCAGATGGGATCCCTTTGTGCCAGTTTTATTCCTATCTCACAATGAGGTGGAGGTAGTGAGAATAACATGTGAACAACCTGGTGCCCAGGAGCCATTGAAGAACCCAGAGGGTTCCCTTGTCTTTCCTACCTGCTCTGTCCCTTTTGCATCAGGGGACTTGTCCTGTCCTGTAGCCTAGTTCCTGGTCTCTGGCTCTCAGCCAGGCTGGAGGATTTAAGGGACAGCAATGACCATTCTGAAAAGACAGTTTATCACCCTATACCCCACTTCAGACCTGGTAATTGAAATGTCTGAGGGTAGAGTCTGGAGATTGAGTTGGGGTTCCCTCACACTGTGTCCTCAAGCATTCAAGATATTTCCTCATTTCTCCTTCAAGTGGGCCTGGCAGTGTTGATCTTCACAGGTCTCGGCACCTCACCAGGACAAGTTTCATCAGAAGTTAATTTTGCATTTGCCTTTCTTGGCTGGGTCTTATGAAGTGGGACTTTGCAAAATAGAATGGCAGGCTGAGCAGGCAAGTCATGACAATGTGGGGGAGAGCTGCTGAGGATGGTGGTCCATTCCTTTGCTCAAGATACAGTGGGACTCAGGGTCAAGCCCCTGACAGCGGTGAGCTGTCCTCTTGTGGCTAGCTATATGTGGTCAGTTGCCCTGATCATGAACTTTTTGAAAGAAAATAATTTATTATAAAAACTGGATTTTCAAGATGTTTTCCTTTTATTATTAGCCTCTCTTCTGGTGATAATCTAGTTTGGCATGTATAGACTAGATGCTTAGCCCTGGTTAATGGGGACCCTCTCAGAGATGTCTCTTGGGGAAGGAGAAAATGGAGACTAAATGCTTGTATGCTTTTTCTCCCTCTTAGATCAGCCTTAGATCTGGAGGCTGCTGAAGTAAGTCCCCAGGCCATAATGAGTCCGTGACCCTTGGGATGACTTGGGATCTGAATTTGCTAATCTGTCTCCCCAAGGTGAGTTCATGCCCAGCGCTGGGGGACCCAGAGGGTGGGAACTCCAAACCATTGGTCTCACCTGTCCTTTCTTTTTTAGATTCTCTTGGCATTATTGGACATCAGAAGAGCAGAGGATGGAGGAGTCCTCCCCAGAGGATGGAGGAAGCATCCCCAGAGTACCCCCTGCTGTTACTCAGCTCATTATGAACCAACTCTTCCTTCCACACAGGAGATCGGAGGGAAATCCCTGGGGCTGGGGCTGGCGTCCACTTCAGCTGGCTCGGAATCTTGACATCAGTGCCCTGAGAATCCGTGGACTGGGAAGGCCAGCCCCGTGTCCCTCTGCTGTGCCTGGAATGACTTTAATGACCAAGAGTTTTTCTTCTGAATTGTAGCAGCTCATCACTTTACTCTCAGCGCACCCATTTCAGTAAGCCTTACAGACTCACTGTGGCTGCCTTTTTTTTTTTTTTTTTTTTTTTTTTTTTTGTGGCTGCCTTTTAAGTTCGTAACAATCTGTGCCTCTGAGGCTGAATGTGAAGAAGTGGATCACAGCCAGCTTATTTTCACCCCTGAGCCTCTCCTGTCACCATCCTGAGGCTTGGCATGCAGGCTGCAGTCTGAGGTGTTCTGTTAGGACTAGAAGGTGAGGGCACCTGGGTGGCTCAGTGATTGAGCATCTGCCTTTGGCTCAGGTCGTGATCCGGGGTCTTGGGATCGAGTCCCGTATTGGGCTCCCCACAGGGAGCCTGCTTCTCCCTCTGCCTATGTCTCTGCATCCCTCTCTGTGTGTCTCTCATGAATAAATAAAATCTTTAAAAAAAAAAGTAAAGGTAGTAACAATACAAACAGGTTTGAAAAAATCCCTATGCTTGGGAAATTTTAAAACATGGTTTAAAATAATCTCATCAGGGACCCTTGGTTGGTTAAGGCATTGGACTCTTGGTTTGAGCTCAGGTCTGATCTCAGGGTTATGAGATCCAGCCCCGAGTCAGGCTCTCTGTTCATTGTGGAGTCTGCATGAATTTCTGCCCCTCCCCACTTGCGCGCGCTCTTCTCTCTTAAAATCTTAAAAACAAAACAAAAGCCTAGTAGAAGATGATACCATAAGGGGAATTAGAAATATTAACAACTGAATTGAAAATTTTTGCATACCAAAGTTTGAGATGTAGCTCAAGTAATTCCTAAGGAGAAAATTATGCCTCTTAGGGCTTAAAATAGAAAAAAGACAGAAATTTAATAACAAAACAAGTAATGAGAATAAAAATTAGAGCAGATTACTTTTTTGTCTATAAAAGTTTATACTTTGACAAAATGAACAAACATTAAAATTGCCTCAAAATGGAAAACTTTAATAAAGACTGCAGGGGGGAGAGCTCAACAAGGTGATTTATTCACATCTTGCAACATGAACTTTTGGTCACTATTAGAGCTGTGCTTTTCTGACAAATCTTGGATCTGCCCCTGAATTAATATATAATGATCCAAACATATGGCTCATTGTTGGGGAAAATTGAGGTCTATTTGAAGGGGGTACAGGGGTCTTTGAGGCTTTGGCTTCACACTGTCAAGTTTGGTCAGAATCCAGCTGTAGATAGGTCATGAATGAGAAACATCATTGATGAGGCTTTTAGAATTTTCCCACCAGTCCTGAAGTTTGCACCTCTACTAAGACAGTAAGACTAAACAGCAATGAGCATGGAAGAGAGTGAAAGCCTCTTGAGGAATTTCTGAGGATGTAGTGAAGGATAAATGACTGAAAACACATGAACTGTGAAGACATTGATAAAGTAGGAGCTGTGACCTCACTGATTGACAAGGATGTTGAAATCTTAAAATCCCTAGACCATTTTTTTAAAAAATTTATTTATAAGAGACACACAGGCAGAGGGAGAAGCAGGCTCCATGCAGGAAGCCTGACTCAGAACTCGATCCTGGGACTCCAGGATCAGGCCCCGAGCTGAAGGCAGACGCTTAGCCCCTCAGCCACCAGGTGTCCCTAAACCTTTTTTTTTTTTTTTTAAAAGACTTTACTCATGGGGATCCCTGGGTGGCTCCGCAGTTTAGCACCTGCCTTTGGCCCAGGGAGCGATCCTGGAGTCCCGGAATCGAGTCCCACGTCCAGCTCTCATGTTGGGTTCCCGGCATGGAGCCTGCTTCTCCCTCTTCCTGTGTCTCTGCCCCCTCTCTCTCTATGTCTATCATAAGTAAGTTAAAAAAAAAAAAAAAAAAAAAGACTTACTTGAGAGACACAGAGAGAGGCGGAGACATAGGCAGAGGGAGAAGCAGGCTTTGTGCAGGAGCCTGATGTGGGACTTGATTCCAGGACCCTGGGATCACAACCAGAGCCAAAGGCAGATCTTCAAAGCAACTGAGCTACCTAGGCATCCTGGTCTTTAGACCATTCTGTACCGGTATTTTTGCTTGGACAGGAGTCTGTTTCTTTGAACCTGAAAAGTATAAAATTATTCAAATGTTTTTATATTAATAGAATCTCTATGTAATTAACTCCGAAAGATGGAACTTCATTTGTCAGTGTTGTGTTTTTTAACCTAAATTTGGTAAACAAAGAGCTCTCACAAATTTTGAATTAATTGAAACCTAGAGAATGCTAACATCTAATTGTATCTTTTACACTTTCTTAAGGTGAAAGGGCAAATCTGTTGTGTTACCTGGTGGCCATTCAAGGAAACCCAGAGATACCTTAGGACTAAAAGACATTTTAACCATCTGATTCTGAATTTGGGAAAGGAAAAGGCAACAACTGTCAGAGGACAAACGAACACTTCACAATTTTCAAATATAAGAAAAAGTTACTGCAAGATGATTTTAAAAACCACAGCAAAAAGTACATAGCTGTTAGAAACTTAATTTTTTTTTTTTTTTAAATAAGGAACTTTTGTTGAGACAAATCAAGAGTATGCCAGGTAGCATCCAGATGGCCAACAGACACATAAAGACATGCTCAACATCACTCAGCATCAGGGAACTGCAAATCAAAGCCACAATGAAATATCACCTCATATGAGTCAGAAGGGCTAGTATAAAAAAATTAAGTCTTGTAGATGTGGAGAAAAAGGAACCCTTGTGCACTGTTGGTGGGAATGTAAATTGGTGCGACTGCTATGGAAAGCAGTATGCAAGTTAAAAAAAAAAAAAACTACCGCATGATCAGTAATTCCACTATAGGATATTTACTCAAATAAAAACACTAATTCAGGAATATAGAGCCACCCCTATTGTTTACTGTAGCATTACTTAAAATAACCAAATACGGAAGCAACCCAATTGTCCATCCACAGATGAATGGATAAAAATGTGTGTGTATATACATGTGTATATATACATATATATGTATATACACACACAGAATGGAACAGTACTCAGTCGTAAGAAACTGAAAGCCTGCTACTTGCAACAACATGGATGGATCTAGAGGGTATGGTGCTAAGTGAAATCCACGAGAGAAAAGTGATTTCAGTCGTGGAATTTAAAAAAACGAAACCACCAAAAAAAGACCAAAGCAGATTTTTAACTATAGAGAACAAACTGGTGGTTGCCAGACAGCAGGTGAGAGGGGATGGGTGAAATAGGTGAAGAGGATTAAGAGTACTTTTTCTGGGCAGCCCCAGTGACGCAGTGGTTTAGCGCCACCTTCGGTCCAGGGTGTGATCCTGGGGTCCTGGGATTGAGTCCCGTTTTGGGCTTCCTGCATGGAGCCTGTTTCCCCTCTGCCTGTGTCTCTGTCTCTCATGAATAAATAATATAAATAAAATGTTTTTAAAAAGTACATTTTCCGTGATGGAGCACTGAGTTAGATATAGTATAGAATTGTTGAATCAGTAGACATTGTGCACCTGAGCTAATATAACATGTCAGTTACACTGGAATTTTAAAGTATCTGGGAACAGAATAACAAACATTTTTTTAAACAAAAAAACCCCTAAATTCTAGTTTTATTTCTGTGTGTGTTTCAACCATGCAACAGTGTGCAGTAAAGGATTTATAAACCTACCTTTTTTTTTAAAAAAAGGATTTTATTTACTCATGAGAGACACAAAGAGAGGCAGAGGGAGAAGCAGGCTCCCTGTGGGGAGTCTGATGTGGGACTCGATCGCAGGATTCCAGGACTGTGGGATCATGACCTGAGCCAAAGGCAGATGCTCAACCACTGAGCTACCCAGATGCCCCTATGCCCCTATGAACCTTTCTTATGAATAAACATTGAGCCAACTTTGTCAAAGTTTTTATTTTTTATTTTTGTCAAAGTTTTTTTTTAAAGGAATTTTTTAAAGCATTTTATTTTTTTTAATTTTTATTTATTTATGATCGTCAGAGAGAGAGAGAGAGAGAGAGAGAGAGGCAGGCTCCATGCACCGGGAGCCTGACGTGGGATTCGATCCGGGTCTCCAGGATCGCGCCCTGGGCCAAAGGCAGGCGCTAAACCGCTGCGCCACCCAGGGATCCCTTGTCAAAGTTTTTAATACGGGTTTATGTTTTTTAGGAACATGGTAGTATAACTCAAGTCAAAAAACTTGTTAATAAGTTTGTACACTTACAGTATAATTTATTATTTTTGTTTAGAGACTAAAAAATGAATCTTATTTTCAAAATAAAATTTTATGAACATATTACATAAAAAGTCTTATATCCTAGTGATTTACCGTTATAATAAATTATAATCATTGCCTTAAACAATGTGTATTATCTTATATACATACTTGCATCTTCCCATAATTATGCCAAATATCGTCTTAGTCATTTTTGTTAATTACCATTATTAGCCAAGTAAATACATTTTGTTTTCTCTAGACTCCAGAAAACTAGAAGACAGGAAAATAACTATTTTTTTCCATTGGTTTACACTTAGTATTCTCTTTCTATATTTAAACAAACCAAAAGAATTTAAAAAAATAAAAAACACCATCCATCTGGTTAATTTATAGCTATTTTAAATGTATAAGAATAAGGGATATATTAAAACTAGGTTTGGTGACTGAAGTTTAAAGTTTATCCGTGGACTCAAATTAACATTTGAGGTTTTACAAAAGGATCTAAAAATGACAATTTTTAAAAAAAGATTTTATTTATTCATGAGAGACAGAGAGAGAGAGAGAGAGAGAGAGAGAGGCAGAGACACAGGCAGAGGGAGAAGCAGGCTCCACACAGGAAGCCCGACGTGGGACTCACTCAATCCCGGGTCTCCAGGATCGGCCCTGGGCTGAAGGCGGCGCTAAAGCACTGAGCCACCAGGGCTGCCCTAAAAATGACATTTTAGCTAAAATATTATCTTTTACAGTTGGTAATGGTATAAAGATAAGATCAAAGCCCCTGCAGGGCTTCAGCTTGAGCTGTGGAGAGCATCCCCATCCTGATTGGAAAGTCTGTCTGCCTTTGTCCTTTGAGAGTTGAGAATATTGTCACTCCCTTTAAACACTCGAGTCACATACCAGGTGAAAAATAGGAATTAGGCAAATAGAAATGAAAATGTCAGTGTTGTTCATAAGAGCTAGATGGGGAAGGCAGCTCTGTACCCACCGGGAGGGCTCCCTAATACCTAACACCCCCTGAATGCAGCCTTGCCCATCACTGGCAGGGGCAGAGCTTTCATGAGACCCAACTGGGTTCTTTAGGAAGATCTTCAAGCAAACTGAGGCATGTAGTGATCAGGGTGACACGCTGAGCTCTTAAAGTACAAGTGAGGGTCAATTTTTTATCACAGATTTCAGCTGAAAAGTACCCAAGCATTCTGATAGCCAGGGAAATCCTGAATGGGCTGTTTAACACACACTCAGGGAGCCCCAGAGATGGGCCAAGCTGTTCTTCCAGCTTCAGAATTGTCCCACAGGAATGGAGGTAGAGAAAGATGGGTGACCCACGGGCTTTCGGGAAGACTCTTGCTGAATTGTCCCAGAAGTATTGGGGTTGAAAGAGTCATGGAGGCAGAAATGATTAGATCAGAAAAGTCATCCATCATTTTGGAAGGGGGTGGGGTATGTTGCAGGTTTTTCTTTTTCTTTTTTTTAAAGATTTTATTTATTTGAGAGGGAGTAAGAGTGAGAGATCATAGAGGGAGAGGAAGAGGGAGAAGCAGACTTGCTGTTGATCATGGAGCCTGATGCACGGCTTGATCCCAGGACCCTGGGATCGTGACCTGAGCCAAAAGCAGACACTTAACTCACTGAACGCCACCCAGGCACTCCTGTTGTATGTTTTTAACATGGCAATGACCAGATCCCTCACAAAGCTGCCTTCTCCGTGAGAGATGAAAGATGGATGTGCCAGAAGAAGTGATCTTGGGCAAAAAACCCTTATGCCCAAACCTCGTTTAGAAAGACAGGAATCCCTGCCTTCAGGGGACAGTGTGGGTTCACTGGACAGGGAATTTACAAGCACAGAGGACTAGACTGGACACCAGTGGGGGTCCCCAGGGTTTGGGACTAGGGAATACCCCGGGGCATTTACATGTCTCTGAGGAAATAAGGACATCCAGCAGCAATGGGGGAAGAATTTCCTAATAGTTCAATAAATGAGGGCACAGGGGAGATTATGCTTAATTTAGCCAACCTAAAGAAATGAGACCCTTTTCCACCCTAGTTTTGTGGAGTAAGATGCATACCTGATATTCATAGGAGTTATTGAAGGAACCAGGATTTACATCTACATGTCGTCTTTGGCCAATGTCCCAACAACTATTGGGACAACTCTGTAATAGAAAGTGTTCTTCCAAGTCAAGGAACACTTTTTTTTTTTAATGGAAAAGGTCAGTTTTATGAATAAAGCTTTGACAATTAAAAAATCTATAGGTGTCTTTGGAGCTTTTGTGCTTCAGTGGCACAAATATTGTGGTTAAGGGCTGTGCTTCCTGGAGAGCTCCCACACTTCTTGTAAAACCGAGATTTCTATTCAGCCTGGCACAGGTTTGACTCTCAGCCAAGTTTAGCTACCTTCTACTTAGAGTAAATCTTGGGGCTAGGAAAAATCCACAAGGGCTTTATCCTTAAAATACTCTCCAGTGGCTTTTTATTTGTAAGACTAGCCACTTCTGGGCGACGTTGGAACTTTCTGTCTTCCCCTAGGATGGGCTGGAGTAGGATATGCTGGGAGGACATCTTTCCTTTGTCAGTGGTCCTCAACATGGTGCTATTTTACCCACCGCAGGAGGCTTTCAGCAATGTCTGGACACATTTTTGGTTGGCACCATTGTGTGAGTGTGTGTGCTACTATCTAGTGGGTAGAGGCCTGGTAGCTGCTAACCATCCTACAGTGTAAAAGGATGGCCCCTTGCAACAAAGAATTATCTGGCCTAAAATGATTACCATGCTGAGGTTGAGAAACTTTGGTTTAAGTCCAGCCTTTTCTATGGGGTGTCTCACTCTCTCTGCATCTCAGCTATAGACCTCAATGTGGAAGGGTGCTCCCAAGAGCTGTACAGTGCACAGCCTGCATAACCACATGTGGCAACCCTGTACACCCACAGGGAAGATGGGCACAAGTGTCCCTCAGGGATAAGCCTGGTACTGTGCTCCACAGGTGGAAGGAGAATGGGTGTGAGTTGAAGGACATACACACATACACATACACACACATAGAAGTGGAGCTACAGGATAGAGTCCTAGTGGAATTCCATTCCCTGGTACTTACCGTTTGGAGGCCTGGCCCTTCCCCTGCTCTAGTTTGCTTACATGATCAAGTCTCCTGTTTTCTGCATCAGCACCGTCAAGCTGGGTGTCTGTCACCTACAAACCACAGCATCATGACTAAAAGGCCGAGTCTTTTCTCAGCTTTCAATATGCCTGCTTATGGTTATTGTATATGATGGGCCAGGCTCTTGCATGAGGTCCAGTGGGTGTTGTGCTTCTTTAGGAAAGGAAGACTTGCCTGCTGTGAAGCTGGCCTAGCTGACCCAGGAGTCCAGCAGGCAAGGTGACACACTAAACTCTAAGTAAGTGTGCTTTAGCCTTTGCTCACAGCTTTCAAACAATAATTCATTCCCAGAGGCTCAGCTTATCTGTCAATCTACATGCATGTCTGCTAAGATTAAATATAAAGTAGGCACGCTTCCTGCCAACATGAGAAGAGGGTGTGTGTGTGTGTGTGTGTGTGTGTGTGTGTGTGTGTGTGTAAAGTGGACCTTTTTGCTTAGAGGGAATGTGCTCCTCCTAAAGGTCTAGGAGAGTAGTCAAGGTTGTCCAATGGCCTTGACCAAAAAACCCATGAGAAACAGGGGAGCCTGTGGCTACCAAGAGGGTGCAGAAACAGAGAAAGAAGGGGCAGAGGAGGAGGAGGATGGACAGTATCTATAGTTGCTCTCAAACAGCCAATGATTAGGGCAACAGAGGAGATAGAATAATCTACAGGGAAAATCATAACTTTGATAATTAACTGAGCATTGCACGATAATATTTCATTTTGGTTCATTATCTTTCACTCTCCTGGCTGGCCATCTTCCATCTTCACTTTTAGATACCTTGGGTTTTCCTAGCCAAGATCATCAGACATTCCTGGCTTGTTTCCTGGGCCTTCCAAGATATAAACGCAACACCTCTATGATCTCATCATAGGTGTGATATTGGTTGATGGTGCAGGACAGATTTTTTTAAATTTGAAAATGTGTCATCCTATTCCTAGTGTACGAAGGGGTCTGTCTGTCTGTATTATTAAAGATTATTTATTTGAGAGAGAGAGAGAGAAAGAGAGAGAGAGAGAGTGAGCACTAGCAGGGGGAGTGGCAGGCAAAGAGGGAGAAGCAGACTCCCCACTGAGCAGGGAACCCAACGTGGGGCTGGATCCCAGGACCTGGGGATCATGACCTGAGTTGAAGGCAGATACTCAACTGACTTAGCCACCCAGGTGCCATTGAAGGGGTCTTTAGTAATGAGGAGTGGGCTGTGATGACAGCACGAATTTATTGATCTAGCACAGTGTGGACCAAGAACCGCCTTGAGCACTTTTCACATGCTTTATTTCAATCTCTCATCTTCCCAGTATCACTACGTCCAATGACATGTCCAACTAAGTCAACCTTTAAGGTTGAGTAGGAGGCTTCAGGTGGCAGGGTGATTGGCTCCTGCTCCTACTATTTTAAGACAGAGGATTCTGGGCTTTGGAGAGATTTTGTAAATTGCTGAGAGTCAAAGTGATGCAACCACGATTTGAAAGCAGGCCAGTCTTGCCTCTTCTGTACTCTTAATTACTCTTAAGACCAGATAGGATATGTTAGCACATTTCCTAATTGAAAACAAGATTTGTATTCATGGTATAAATCCTATTTGTTGGTGGTGAATTATTCTTTTAGACCACAGGTGGGCACACTGTGGCTTATGCTCAGATCTGGCCTGCTGCCTGTTATTATAAATAAAGTTTAATTGGAACACAGCCACGCCCACTCGTTTGCTGTCCAGTGGCAGTGAGGAGTCATTGCCATGGAGACTAGAGGTGTGCAAAAGCCTAAAAGATTTACTCTCTGGGTCACCTAGATGGCTCAGTGGTTGAGCATCTGCCTTTGCCTCAGGTGGTGATACTGGGGTCCTGGGATCAAGCCCAGCATCAGGCTTATCTCAGGGAGCCTGCTTCTCCCTCTGCCTATGTCTCTCCCTCTCTCTCTGTGTCTCTCATGAATAAATAAATAAAGTCTGTTTCAAAAAAAAAAAAAGATTTACTCTCTGGCCCTTTATAGCAAAAGTCTGCCGACCCCTGTTTTCAGCTGTAAGCTCAATGAAGACTGAGACGGTGTGTTTTCCTCTCTGACCCCCTCCGCCCATTGCACCAAGCCCAGAGACAGAAGCCACAGCAGGCAAGTCATTAGCAATTTGAAATTGAGATTTGTTGAATAAATGTGGAACTCATAGAGCGGCTGCATGGTCTCTGCTCCCATCTCAATGAACACTACACACCAAGGAAGTGGCGACACCAGGCTTTGAGCCCACCCTGTCTGACTCTGGCTCCCGTAACCAGGACATGGAAGGACACATACAACTAAGTTCGTGTTCGATGTTGAGCAGGGTGCCTTGAGCTCTGTGGGGACTGGACACTGCTCATGGTTTCCCCTTCACTGAAGTTTATTCCAGTGCAGGCAGGCAGGAAGCTAGGGTGGAGCTGGCCTGAGTCGGGCTAAGGACAGCTGCAAAGGGGACAGGAGGGGGCACGGGAAGGAGGAGAGAAAGGTGGGGAAGGGGTCCCATGGTCAGGCGTGTCTTCAGGTGGCCCGGGCTCCCCATTGAGTAGCGTCCACGTGGAAGAGGCCCTAATGGGAGTGAAGGCAGGGTGGCCTGCAGCCTCTGGACCCCCAAAGGGACAGGGGCAGGGGCAGGGGCAGGCCCGGCTGTGGTGTCGTCCATGCCTCCAGCCATGGCTGCCTCTTCCTCAGCGTTCAGTAATCAAGGTTGGCCACAAGGAGCAAGAAGTTCTGGAGAGAAGGCAAAAGAAGCACAGACAAGAACGATCATTTTCTGAGCTGCAGAGGATAGGAGCTTCCTGAAAGAGAAACCTTCAGCGGAAGAGGCAAGTTTTCACTTGAACGGGATGCGAGGTCAGTGCCAAAACCATGGGGGGGGGGGCTTTTGAAAACACTGTCCCTCTTAGCTGCCTGATCCTGGGAATTTGTTTGCATCCCCCCAATACTCTGATTTCTGGAAGACACGCGTGAATGTCGCTATCCTCTTCCAAAATTTTTTTTTCTCCTAGGAGAACAATGTGCATCTGGGTGCTGCCTGGATTCACTGCTCTCACATAATTAATTCAGGAGGATGTAGTCCAGGATTACCTCAGAGGAAGGACATACTGTGAACAGTGAAGACATGACACCTCTGGAGTTATACAGTGAACTATCCTTGTCCCTGACCCTGCTTGTGAGGTGGTTCTTGCACTAAAAGGCCTGGGTGATTTTTCTCCAGGACCATCCCTTGCTGCTGAGGGCAGAAAGGCCAGCTGGTGGCCCAGTGGAGACTCTCACACCACCATCGAGGTTCCAGCTCATTAACCCGGAATTGGTGCATCTAATTGGACCCCTCTGCACACTCTAGTCCTGCCATTCACGGCTAATGGGCCTTGCACACTGTTGATGTTCAGATGACCTGTTTGAACTGAATACTGGAAACTGAGCTATTCTACATGAAGCCAAGATTCCATACAATCAAAACTTGCCACCTGTACTCCAAAATTTAAAACAAAAATTCCTATAAACATTATGACCAGGATGTCAGAGGGCCCCAAACCTGCCCTCCCAGGAGGTCTTAGAACTCTCCACCCAGACCCCACGTCTCACTGACCTCGTGGACTTGGAGCTCCGAACTGTTGAGGTAGGTATCCACTGGCAGAGGGAGAGGAAAGCCCTCCTCAAGCTTTGCTGGAAGATAAAGAGCAGAGAGACACGGGCTGGAGGGGGAAGGCTGGGGAGGTGCGGAGACACGCTCATTGCATTAGATGCTGGCTGGTGAGAGGGCAGGCTACTTCGAAATGAGGTAGGCTATTGGATTCAGGGCTGGTTTTCTGTTGGTGGGAGCATGTAGATGCAAATGCCTGATAAATGCAGCTTCTTCAGGAGGGGACAGATGTGGACAGCCCCCACCAGCCAAAATGGCCCAGGATGGGGCATGCAGTGTTTACAACTGTGGACTCATCCCTGAGGACCACCATATCTTCCACTTTCTCTTTTCTAGGACAACTTCCCTGCTCTTCTCTGGTGGTAGTAGAAGTCGGACGGCGAGGCCGGTTAGAGAAAGTCCAGGCATGGGTTCTCAGGCAGCCACTGTGCCAAGCATTATTTCCATCAAGGTCACCTATCAAGTCAATGACCTAACCTGGCCCAGAACCCAGGTGTGCTAACTCCAGGTGTTCTCCAGGTGCCGTTTGGTCTGCCACTCCTTGGCCTACCTCCCTGTGCTTTGGGACTCAACTTGACCTTCACCTTCTGGAAGTCTGGACCAACCTCTGAGTCACAGTCAGTGCCTCCTCCTAACTCCCCCACAGCTGTGACTCCTGTCACAGCATTTATCACACTGGTTGTCACTGCCTGTTACACATCTACCTTCCCAACAGAGCATAAACTCCTCAATGGCAGGCTCAAGGATTGCCAGTACCCCTGCCAGTGCAGAAGGAGGGGCTCAGCTTGTTGAATAAATAACTGAATGACTGATTGATCCATGAATCCTACAGAAAGGGTAGAATTTGACGTTTACATGGGGCAGTCAGTAGCGGGTACTTATTTCTTTTTAAAGGTAGTATTTTAAAATTTTGTTAAAAGATTTTATTTATTTATTTGAGACAGAGGGAGGGAGGGAGAGAGAGAGAGAGAGAGAGAGAGAGAGAGAGAGGAGAACAAGCAGGGGGAGCAATAGGAAGAGAGAGAGGGAGAAACAGACACCTCACTGAGCAGGGAGCCTTATGTGGAGCTGAATCCCAGGACCCCAGGATCATGACCTGAGCTGAAGGCAGATGCTAAACCTACTGAGCCACCCAGGCACCCCTAAAGATTTTATTTATTTTAGAGTGAGATAGAGAGTGAGAGCAGGGGGAGGCGCAAAGGGAGAGGAGAATCCCAAGCAGACTCTGCTAAGTGCAGAGCTTGACTTGAGGCTCCATCTCAGGACCCCAAGACCATGACCTGAGCCAAAATCAAGAGTCAGACACTTAACTGAGTAAGTGTCTGTCAGTAGCAGCTATTCTTACCATTGAGGGAGGGGTATATGGTGTGGAGCGCATAGTAATTGAGGATGACTTCCATCAGCTCCACCTGGATTGGCGGGGGGGGGGGGGCAGAACAAAGGGAGCAAATAAGACATGAATGAAAACAGGAGTCCAAGGGAAGAACATCTAGTGGCCCTCACCTCCAGAAACACTGACATGCCATCCCACTTACAAAACAGGTTGACTGTGACTGTCACAACTACAGCTCCTTCTTCACAATCTCCTAAACTCCACTCTCTGGACTTCATTCTCCATCAGTACATACGAGCTCATTTTGTGGCAAAACATGACCTGAATTGCCCTGGGGATATGTAGTGTTTCTTTATTCCACTTTGCATGAATATTTTAAAATTTTGTTGCAGGAGTATTAATGTGTTTGATTAGAGATTGCTGCCCCAGATCCTCCTGGAAGAGTTATATAACATATGGTGCATGTCCCAAGTTAACCTCTCATAAATTCTCAATTCTGAAGCCCATCAGCCCTGAGGGCTTTGGGTAAGGCATTGTACACCTGGGCCGCTATTATTACAGCAGTGAAAATATACCAAGAGCTTACTATATGTGAGACATTTTGTCAAAGTGTCTTATTGAATTCATTGCCCTGTTTCATGTTCAGTTCCCATTTGAAGTAGTTGAAGTAGATATTAGTATTCCCATTTTATTGGGAATGGTTCAGAAAGGTTAAGTTATTATCCCAAGGTCACACAGTAACAAGTGGCACAGTTGGTAAAAGAGCCCAAATCTATCTTCCTCCAAAGCTTGTGCTCTTAATGTCCACGTCCTGTCTCCCTGTTAGCTCTCAGGCTGCGCCCTCCTTAAATGATTAACTTTTAGACATGGTGTCCATTTCCTGCAAGACTGTAGTGCATCTTCTCTGGGTCCTTGGTGCTTCTCCAGGAGCCCCCTGAAGCCCTGCTTGGAGAAGAAATGCAAGAGGCTCTGGGAGAAAACAACTCACGTCGATGAAATTGATGTTGGAGTGTTTCAGTTCCAACTTCAGCTTACTGTGTGGAGAAAGAGAAGCACGGGTCACCCCAAGACGTGGCTGCTACTTCTTCGCAGCTACCTCTAGGGAGTGCAGTGCTTATGGACAAGGCCATTTCTGGGGGCTGGGTGCCTAAGAGTTCCTCTGCAACGTGGTGCTTGAGCATTTAAGGATTTCAGCATGCACAGTGATTTAAGAAGAAGTGGCATTGTTGAAAATAACATTTGCTGAGCATCTTCAATAACTTAAATAAATTATGAGGATATAAATATTAACTGAAAAAAGTGGGATGCAAAGAGCAGTGCTCTGTATGTCCAATGACAAAAATGTGTATTAAGAAAAGACTGGAAGGAAACATGAAACTATTAGTAGTGATAGTCTCTATGTGGCAGGGTTGTAGAGGATTTTTAAAAAATACTTTTACAGGGGGATCCCTGGGTGGCTCAGTGATTTGGCACCTGCCTTCGGCCCAGGGCATGATACTGGAGTCCCGGGATTGAGTCCCACGTCAGGCTTCCTGCATGGAGACTGCTTCTCCCTCTGCCTGTATCTCTGCCTCTCTCTCTCTCTGTCTGTCATGAATAAATAAATAAAATCTTTTTAAAAAATGCTTTTACAATTTCCATGCCATGAGCGTGTATTATTTGCATAACATGGGAATAGACAACAATGGTAGAGAGAGGCACCTGTGTGTTGCTGGCAGACAGCTGGCACCCAGCAGAGACAAGGAAGGCAGGGTGACTCTGGAGGCCTCAGGTGCTGTCACTATAGAAGCCAAACCTCAATTCCCCCATTGATCCTCTTGGCTGCTGGCCTAGCTCCCTCATTCAGGGATTCTAACCACCGTGGACTGATGATCTCTTTGCTTTCTGCTCATGGGGCAGAGTAGTTTTGCTAATCCCTTGATGAAACCATGGTGTGAGGTCCTCCTAGATCCTCCTCATTTTGCTGCGTCTCCACAGTCCAAGCCCTTGGCTGTCCTCTCAGATACTGCACACCTCCCAAGCCAGGCTGATGCATGAACTTAAAATTCTGGGACCTCCAAAAATGCTCACATGCTCACCATTAGCTTCTCTTTTTAAAGACCTCTTATGATGTGCATTTTAATGAAGTCAGTGCACTCTCTGAGTCAATGGGTATCTAACCCCAAGGCCAGGATTTGGTTCCTCTGATGCACCCGCTGCACCTGTTCTTCAGCCAGGAGCAGTGCTCAGAGTGGGTGAGACACGGGGTATAGGTGAGGGCCCCAGAGAAGGACGTCAGGGCAAGTGCCAACCCTTGCTGACAGTTTAGTCTCTCCTGCCCACTGGCTTACTGGATTTAGTGAGTATGCTCCTATTGACTGGGTATCTGGGCGGTGGCGCAGCAAGGAGTGGCTTGGGGGCACCTTTAATCCTCAGCCTAAAATCTCCCTTTTTTGATGTGCAGTACTGACTGTTCTCAATCTTACATATAAAGTCCTTGCAAAGCTCCATATCTTCCAACTAGATTATGGCTCCTAAGTAATCCCTTTGCAGAAGTTCAGCAATTCCACTGGTGCCTGAGACTGAGAGGGGACCTGAATGTAACCTGGGCTATGTGGCAACTTGTCTGGCTTCTGGCTTCCCCACTAAGGCATGGTCAATATGCCTTTCCAAAGGGGCCCCCGGATTAGAGGTGAAGCCAGCCCCAGTGGAGATCTCTGTTCCCAAGGGTAACCCCAGCCATAGCAGTGACCAGATTAAATGCTCAGGTTGCTGCTTGGCTATCCTCATCCTACCCCACTTCCCCCTACCCTTGCCCATGGCCGCTTACCTTCCTGGGGTCACTGAACCAACAATCCTGTCAGAGCTCACATTGATGGTGGCAGAGATGCTTGTTGTCTAAAAAAGCAAAAAAAGATAACCCAGAATCTCAGGTGACATAGAAATCCTGTTGGCTCCCAGTCCAGGGGACAGATCTTCAGAAACCACAGCCAGATATGAGACATGTGGGTGAAAAGCAGCTACCCCAAGGATTATGGGCTGAAGATGCAGGATGTTGGTGACTCCACAGCTGACTCTAGGAAAGGTGAGCTGAGGTTTTAGAGGTCCTAATGGAAGCATCAACGAGGGCAAATAAGCCCAAGCTAAAGACACGGAACATTGAAATAGGGAGACCACCAATAAGCATGACTGAGCTTTGAAGCAGGCTACTATGAGAAGTTCAGAGAGGCCCTGAGTCCTAGGGACCTTTAAAGACACCACCAACTGACACCTGGGTGTGAGGATGAAGCCTGCCCTGTCCAGGTGTGGGGTTGAACCAGGCCACTGAATTTGGGCAATGTCTGGCCAAAGTATTTCTTTGAATACTTTTTCCAGCCCCTCCCACTTTCTCCCCTCCTGGGACTCCGAGGACAGTAAGATGAGAACTTTTGTTGTAGTTCTACAGGTCCCTGAGGCTCTATTCATTTTTTTAGGCCATGCATTCAGATTTAGTAATTTCTATTGTTCTATATCTAATTCATTTGTTCTTTTCTCTGTTCCACTGACACACACCCCCCTCCCCCAGCAGGGATGTCAGGGCATGTTGTTACAGCCTCGTGCCAGTGTAAGCCTCAGCTCCCCAGTCAGCCTTTGCTGGCCTGGGTGGGGCTAGGGCCATAGCTTTTTCTCTGGTGTTTGGCTTTAGTAGCAAAGTTATTGATTGTCTACAAGTTTTCTATCTTACTAGGTTGTCCCTTTTTTTGGTCCTTTGGCTAGAAAGAGGGGGATGCTGTTGGGGCTCTTTTTGTTCATGCCTGTTGGTGTTTCTGGGTTGCCCCAAATTGGAATATGCAGGGCAAAAAGAAACCCCAGGGAGCTCATCATCATGTTGTTCCTTAGATCTGGAGACCTCTGGCTGATATATCTTCTTCTCTCTGTCTTTCAGAGTTTTCTTGTTTATTTTATATATAATGTTTAAGGTTCTGGGTTGTACTCAGCAGGAGTAGGGAAGGAAATGGACATCTACTCAATCTTCCCAGAGGAGGAGGTGTTTTGCCCATTTTTGAAATTAATTGTCTTTTTTTATGACTGAGTTGTAAGAGTTCTTTATATATTCTGGATACAAGTCCCTTCTCATATATATGGTTTGCAAATATTTTCTCTCTTTCTGTGGATTGTCGTTTCACTTTCTTGAATTCTGTCCTTTGAAGCATGAAGTTTTTAACTTTGGTGACGTCCAATTTATCCATTTTTATTTTTTTGTTCATGCTTTTGAGTTGTATCTAAGAAGGTCTAACCCAAGGTCATGAAGATTCAATGCTGTGTTATTATTTTTTTTTTCTGAGAGTTTTGTGGTTTTAGCTCTCACATTTGGGTCTCGAGTCCCAAATTGACTTGGAGTCAATTTTTGTGTATGTATAATGAAGAGATCTGGTTTCATTCATTTGCATGTGGATATCCAATTGCCCTAACACCATTTCTTAAAAGCTTTTTCTTCCCCATTGAATTGTCTTGGTCCCCTTGTTAGAAATCAGTTGACTATAAATGTGGAGGTTTATCTCTGGATTCTCAATTCTATTCCGTTGATCTGTATGTCTATCCTTGTACTACTACCACATAATTATGATTACTATAGCCTTACAGTAAGTTTTGAAACAGAGAACTATGAGTTCTACAATTCGTTTTTCAAGATTGTTTTGGCTATTTTGGGTCCCTTGAGCTTACATATAAATTTTGGGATCAGCTTGTCAAGAAAACCAGCTGGAATTTCGATAGGGATTGTGTGGAATGTGTAAATCAGTTTGGAGAGTATTGCCATTACGAGTTCCTTACATTTTATACCTTCTTTAAAAAGGTAATTTAATGATTTTATTTATAACCACTTCAAAAGAGTTATGCTTCAAATTGAACTTATTTTTATAGCAAATGTAACAGTGAAAAACAGCTAAAATTGTCCAACTTAGCTAGTGTGAATGACTTTTAAGGGTTCTTGCAATTCTGCCAATGTATGATTTGATGAAGTACACCCTTGGGAAGCCTGGCTGTTCAGGCCAGGGATGCAAGGTCCCCTCACACTGCTGCCAGGCAGAAGTAGCCTCCAGAATTTATCAGCTTCCCTGTCCTTCGGTAGAGGGAGGGGCTTACACTTTGGCAGATGGAACCCTTTGCTGCTCTGTCCAGGGGCACACTTACCACCCTGAGTTGGAAGAGTGGCTTGCGGTCAGAGGAGTTGGGCTTGAGAGCGAAGGCCTGGACATCTATTACTGGCATGAGGGTCACATTTCCAGGGGTGAACATCAGTAATGGAGCTGACTCAGGTGACATCTCAAGCTCTAGCTCCATATTGGGGTACATCCTGGCCAGCTGGAGAAAGAGGGCAGAGGCTCGGGGGGAGGGCAGGGTGCACTGATGTGCAGCTACAATCCCCACATTTGGTCTAGATGGGGTTCTCCGAATTCTCTGTGGTGAATGTTCAAAGATCTTACCTGAGGAACAAGGGCTGGGAATGAGCTGGTGTGCAGGTAGATTGGAGAGTCTGGGGAAATCTGCAGTAGAAGCAGGAGGCTACTTGAGATGCAGGATGTGGTTAGAAGTGCGGAGTTTGAGGTCAGACAGGTCGAGCCCAAATACTGCTCCCGCCATTTTTCAGCTGATGGCTTGCTGGCAAGCTTTGTTAGGTTCTGCATCTGTAAAATGGGGATGATAACCGTAGCACTCGCCATGCAGAACAGGCAAGGATGAAATGAGACAGTGTATAGGTAAAGTGCTAAGTGCAATGCCTGGAACCTCAGTAAATATAACAGTCTGTTTTTGTTATTTTTGGTCAGTTTTTGTTATTTTTGGCCCCCTCAAGGGCCAATGAGATCTCATAACCACCACAATCTGGATTGAATCTATATCTATTTCCAGGTACGTCTTCCCCTCAAACCTTTTCTTTCTTTCTTTCTTTCTTTCTTTCTTTCTTTCTTTCTTTCTTTCTTTCTTTCTTTCTTTCTTTTTAAAAAGATTTTATTTATTTATTCCTGAGAGATACAGAGAGAAGCAGAGACATAGAGAAGCAGGCTTCTCACAGGGAGCCCTATGTGGGACTCGATCCCAGCACCCTGGGATCACGCCCTGAGCCAAAGGCAGATACTCAACTGCTGAGCCACCCAGGCGTCCTCCCTTCAAACCCTTTCTAACCCTCTTTCTGGTATTCTTCTCTACCCAATCCTCTGACTTGCTGATCTTCTAGTGTGGTGAACCCTGCCTGCACCCGCACACAGCCTATCTTCCCTGATCTCTCCTCTCTCAAGATCCCACCTTTCTTGGACTGCTCCCATAGCACTTATCATAGTGCTTGGCTTGGGGGGTGCATGGCTCAGACCTCCCTTCGGGGGGGGGTCTCCTGCAAGAGGGGTAGTTGGTTGATAGCCCCCTGCTACCTCATTCAGGCCCCACACTTTCATGCTGGGCCACGATGTCCCAGAAAGCCCCCAGCCCCAGACCCGAGCGCAGCGCAGCCAGTGTAGTGCTGGAGAATTTTGTCTGACCAGGCAGGATTGAGACGATGAACCAAACCCAGAGTAACAAGCCCTCATTCACTTACTGTGAAAGTGTAAGCAAGAGGCTAAACAGGAAAGGATACCGGCCCCCACCACTCCATTTCCCCTGTGGCATGGCACCTGTGAGGTCAGATGCTTCAGCAGAGGGAAGGAGGGGGTCACCTTATTGCCAGAGGAGCCCCCAAAGAAAAGGCTCCTGCTGTGTTATGGACCCGGTGTGGGAGGGGGAGGAGGGTCAGTAGAGGAGTACTGACTACCAGGTCAGACTGGAGAAAACCGTCCTCCAGGCCCTGGCAAGGGGGTCTCAGCAGAGGCACCTAAGCAATCTCACCTGAGGATCCCCCATCCCCTCCACCCGTAAGGAGGCCTCTGAGTGAGGTGTCAAGGCTTGGAATGCAGATAAGCCTAAGAGCATGGCCAGTCTGAGGAGGGGATGGGGCAGAGGCTTATGTCCTTTGCCACAGCTCCCTCCAGAACCTGACGAGCACCGGCCAGGCACCAAGTCTAGTCTGGAAGGACCCACCAGGTCAAGCCTTTGTAATTGCCTGTGGTCAGGCCAGAAAGATCACGCACAGGCTTTTAGCCTGGACCTGGACTCGTTGGATTTCTGTCTGCAGCAGCACCCATCTGATCAGCAGGCTCCGCTCCGTGCTCCATCAGCTGAGCTGAGGCTCCTCAGAGGTGCACAGCAGCACTTCTGCTACCAGTGTGCTTGCCTTCCCCTCTCCTCCGTGGTGCCAGGCCTGCATCTCCCTGGGAGGGCTCTCCCCTCCTACTCCTCCTTCCTCTCCCCTTCATCCTTCCCAGGCACTCCCCTAATCTATCCCTTCCAAGTCTAGTGCCACCTTGGCATCTGCTTGGAGGACCAATATGATCTCACGGAGTCTTTTATATTTTTTTAAGTATTGCCAATAATAGCTAATATGTATCATGTATCAGACACCAAGCTCTTAACAGAATCGCTCATATGATCCCTGGGGAATAGGCACTGTTGGGATCCACGGCCTGGATTTGAACCCACATTTGGTAGGCTTCAGATTATACATTCTTTCTCTGGCTCCCCAAACCCCCAGGCTTGGTCTCCAGTCCAGCCTGCCACTCTCTCCTGGGACTACCCCCTGCAGCCTCCTCCCTCCCCTACTCACGTGCTGGTTTTGAATGGTGAAGTTCATGTATCCAGCCTGGTGGTAGACCCAACTGGCTGTGTTGAAGACATATTCAGAGATAGCAAAGTAGACCATGTAGTCATGTTTCTCTGGCAGCCTGATGGGCGGAGCATCGAAGGGGGCTCGGGAGTGCCCGTTTTGGCCAAAGAATTCACCCTGGAAACAGAAGGACACGTCACCCACCCAAGGTTCCTACCAGAGAGGGTGCCAGGCAGAGGTGTCCAAAGCCTTCCTGGGGAAGCCTCCTGTGCCCTGGGCTGTGGTCTGAGTGCTGGTTCCTCTCCAGAATGTGGGCCTGGGGTCCTGAAAGGTTCCTTCTGGCCCCACAAAATTTAGACCTGACAGCTGCTTGAAATCCCCTATTACAGAATCGGCTGGGAGATATGTGTTGAGTTCTCATGGGCTCAGGATGTGGCCTGGTGGTGGAAAGCATGGACTCCAGAGATTGACTGTCACTTACTAACTCTGGGACTTTGGGCGGGTCCCTAGTTTCCTTGTGTTTCAACCTCTTCACCTGCAGAATAAGGATGATGCTAATGGCTTCAACTTCATAGAGGTGGCAGAAAATGGAAATATGTTAATATTTGTACCAATATTCAGCATCTGGCACAGAGTAAGAAGCATATACTTGTTTGTTAAGTAAATAAAATGGGAGGAAGATGGCACTCCAGGACCTAGCTCAACCCCCAGGGGAAACATGGAAGAGACTGGAATAAAAAGGGGGTGTATTAATTTCCTATTGCTTCTGTGGGCACTGGCTAGGGATGGGGACTTACGGGCAGATGGACTAAAGAAGGAGGTTAGGAGCTGACTCTGGGAGGTAGAACTTATTTTCTGCCAGCCCTCAGCTCTAAGGTCCTTTAGCCATAGCAACTTACCTTGAAGGGTGTGTCTAGGACTTGAGAAGTCACTTGAGGAGCTCCTATTAAACTGTAGTCAATGCTGGCAACCTGGTCAATCATTGAGATAACTGTGGAACAGGAAAGAGACAGTGTTATGAATAGGGCAGTCAAACACAGTTGTGTGTGTTGTGCACTGCACAATTGCAGGGCTCTTCTTTCACATGGACTATTGCCTTTGGAGAATTGGAATGGGGATGGGGCTGATCCATGGTAACTTCAGGCACTAAGAGAGTGCTGTATTCATTCATTCACCCATTCATTGGATATGTATTAACACCTGCTATATGCCAGGCACAAATGCAAGGGGCTGATGAAACAGCTGAGTGAGATAGTCAGAGTCCCTGTCCTTTGACAGTCCATGGTGGGGTGGGGGGAAGATAGTCAATCAAATACTTGAGAAAATAAATGTAAAATTGCAACTCTATTAGGTAGCGTAAGTCCGTAGGATGATATCAGTGGCATAACAGAGATGAAATGGTGAGGGGCGGGGGCTGCAACCTGATTTGGACAGGGAGTCAGAGGAAGTGTTGCTTGGGCTGTGATCTGAAGGAGGAGTAGGTGTCGACTGGGTGAAGTGTGGTAGATGTAGCGGAAGGACATTCCTGGCAGAGGGAATGACGTGTGCAGAGATCTTGTAGCAGTAGGAGTACAGTTGAGGCATAGAGGGTGATTAGAGGAATTAGCGATATTGGAGGCATGTAGGGACTGTGTGGCTGGCCACATTGCCAGACCATGCAAGGCCTTGTCACTTGGAGCGGGGCTCAGTGTCCTGAGAGTCAGAGGAGTTTTTGTTGGGTTCCAAGAAGAGGGGGAGACCTGACCTGTTATGTGATTGTGAAAGGTCCCTGTGGCAGCCAGAGGGCCAGGGCTGGGCGGATCCCGGGCCCTACTCAGGGATTGCAGAGCATCCCTGTTTTGTTAAAGCAGCCAGGACAGAGCTAGCATGTTTTTCTCCCACGTGCCTGTCATCCTCTTGTGCTCCTCCCAGCATGTTCAGTCATAGTGAGTCACTATGCTCAGTCACCTTACTCCCTGGCCTCCAAAGCAGACCCCCCAAGAGAGGTGGTCACCCCATATCCAGCTCTGTAGGATGGAGAGGTGCTCAATGGGGAAAGTTCACCCGGGACTCTAGGGAGATGAGGGTGGTGATGGCTCCGGGGGTCCTGGGTGCCATGGCATCTGATGGTGCCCAGAGAAGGAAGGGACCTCCGAACCTGGCAGAGTCTGGAGATAGGGCTCCAGGCGAGAGGTTGTTGCCTTCTCGACCATTTCGCAGATCTGCGGGAAGCGAGTGAGAAAGTCAGGTGAGCTCCCCTCTCCCTCTCTCCTTGGCCCTGCGCCTCCCACACCGCCCTCCAAATGACCTGGCTTTTCTCCTCACCCTGCAGGCTTGAGGGGTGGAGGTGAGCATGTCCAAAGAGAGAAGAGCCCACTCCCTTCATCAATACACAGTACTTGGTCACTGTCCCATTTGGGCTGGGCACGCACGTGGGCTCAGCTTAAGTCCCTAGACTTTTCTGGAACCTACATTAGAAGTGAATGGTGGCCACTCGGGCACTGCCCTGTGGTCTGCTGTTGCCACGGGTCCCAGTTCAATGTCTTGGCTGCTAAGTGGCAAGAAGCAGAGTACATCAACACATTTATTAGGGAGCCGAGGGGCAAAGCGGGAGAGCTCCCCGGTGAACCAGGGGCTCCATCACCTCATTCCTCAGCCTCTTTGCCTCCTCCTCCTGCTCAGGCTCCTGGCTAGCTGGGAATAAGGGATCCCAAGGAGCGCGGCTCTAGGTCCACAGGCAGTACTGACCGGGGCCACCAGAGGGCCTCAAAGCAAAGCCAGAAGGACAGTTCTCTGGAGAATTGCCTTCCTCAGCAGGCCCAACAACCTACTCCTCTGTACATCAAGAGGTCCTGCCTGGGAGATCCCCTAAATCCCCCGGCTTCAGATTTCCTAGCTCCAGCTATTCCTACACCATCTCTGGGACTTTGCCTTTCTCAACTATTCATTTATTAATATCTACTTTACAGCAAGTGGCCTCTTAAAAAAATCACATACTTTTAATAAAAAAATACAGGAACTGTATATCACTTGTCAATGGAAAACTGGCATCCCTTGGCATAAACATGATATAATTGGGAAAAAAGAATACAAGGGCTTGAAAAAACGTTCTGGAAGCCAGGCTAGATAGGGTTGCCATGTTCAGGATACACTGGCCCCAAACCGAGACTTCCCCTTTGATGTAAAAAGAAAGGACTGTGAAGGGAATTGATTGCTCGTGTTAAAATCAACACTTTGTTTTGAGGAAGTTTCCCCACTTTGGGAACTGATGTTTTGTGCAAACTCCAAGTCAACCTGTGTCAGGTGGGTTTGACCTGGAGCACCCAGGCAGCCAGCCCTTCTGGGGCTTGACTTCATCCACCCCAAGTCCCCTGGTCAGAGATCCTCTCTCCTCATACCTCTCTTTGCACTCTCAGCCCTGTGGGGTCTGCAACCAGTGCCCCCATCCCCTGACACTGACCACTCCTTGGGCTCAGCCTCTCTGGCACCAGCCCCATGCCCCCTGGACACATGATGTCCAGGGTTTTCTTTTTTCTTTTCTTTTCTTTTCTTTTCTTTTCTTTTCTTTTCTTTTCTTTTCTTTTCTTTTTTCTTTTCTTTTCTTTCTTTTCTTTTTTTTTCTTTTTTCTTTTCTTCTTTTCTTTCCTTTCCTTTTCTTTTAAAGATTTATTTATCTATTTATGAGAGACACAGAGACAGAGAGAGAGGCAGAGGGAGAAGCAGGCTCCATGCTGGGAGCCTGATGTGGGACTCGATCCCAGGTCTCCAGGATCACGCCCTGGGCTGAAGGTGGCGCTAAACCACTGAGCCACCCGGGCTGCCCGACGTCCAGAGTTTTCTGGACCATGTTTCCATATTTGTAGGGCAGAGACCACAACTTGCCTCTGGCCTCAGCCTGCTGCACAGGGCTATTGGGGAAATAACCTTGAACCATTTACTCTGTCCTTCCTCTGTAGGAGGCACTCATTAGTGCCTGTGTGTATGACATCATACAGCCCTCCCAACAGCCCTGCAGGGTAGATGCTGTCATTATTCCCAGTTTATTTTATTTTATTTTTCTTTTATTTCTTTTTTTTTTTTTTTACAACCCCACAGGCGCCCAGGGGGTTCCCACCTGCCCCGCCCCACGCCAAACCGGGGACGCGGGGGGGGGGGTATTCCCAGTTTATAAACAAGAATCTCAAGGCTCAGAGAGGGTAAACCTGTTAACCACAGCATCACAGCCAGCAAAGGGGCAGACCTGGGATTTAAACCCAAAAGTCGGACTGCAGAACCCATGTACTGAAGAATGAAGATTCCATGAGGTGAAACATGATTCAGAAATGACTCTGCAATATGATGAGTGCTCTGAGCAAAGCCTGTGTGCCAGGTGCACTAGTGGTTATCAATCCCTACTAGCCTCCTTCAAGGTAGGTAGGGGTCATCGTCCACATTTTACAAATGAGTAGAGTGAGGCTCCAGGAGGCCCATCAACATGCCCAAAGATACACACCAGGTAAATGGAAGAGGCACTCTGCCTCCAAAGTTTTTTTTCCCTGAGGTGATATGTACTAAAGCCAGCCCCATTATTGTTCTCCATATAGTGCATTTTTGGGGGAAGAATAGAAGGTGAGTCCTTTTTAAGAAATATTTTCCTATCCTCAAAGTGAGAAAGATATGCTAGATTTTCTCCTAAGAAGTTTTGGATTGGTTCTGGAATTTAAGTCCTTAGACCACCTGGACTCGATTTTTGTGTATGGTGTGAGGAAAGGATCCAAGTCACTTCTCCATATCTCTGTAATATTATCTACAACTAGATCTCAAACACTCTGCCAGTTCCAAATGCCAATTTAACATATGTGGTCATACAAACTTGGGAAAGCCTTGAAGTTTGTCTTTGCACCACGAAAGAAGAAAGTTTACTAAGCAAATTCAAATGACAGTGTATTTAAGAGACAAGGCTGTTTCCAAATATCAAATATGTCCATGCCAATGACCCTTGTATTAATCACAAATCTATGTGTCCTTTTGTTTACCTTTTGTTCCAAGATATTTTTGAATTTATTTTCGATTCTCTCATGGAAGAGGTTCAGGATCCAGCTGGAAAAAAAGAGGAAAGAGGGTCAGGATCCACTTTATGATTAACCTAGGACTCCCAAAATGATGGCTACCCATGGATCTGATCTTCCTCCATGTTATCCCAAGAAAGGAGCCAACCAGATGGGGAACTCTCATATACTATTAGTGGGAATGTCAATTGGTACCGTCACTATGGAAAACAATGTGGAGGATCCTCAAAAAATTAAAAATAAACTACCATATGATCCACCAATTCTACTTCTGGGTATTTATCAAGAAAACAAAAATGTCAGTTTGAAAAGGTATCTGCCTCTATGTTCATTGCAACATTATTTATTATATCCAAGATAAGGAAACAGCCTAAGTGTTCATCAGTGGATGAATGGATATAGAAAATGTGGTACACACACACACACACACACACACACAGCCGGCTGGAATATTAGTGAGCCATAAAAAAGATATTTTACCATTTGCACAACATGGATAGTCCTTGAGAGTATTATGCTAAGTGAAATAAGTCAGACAGAAAAAGGCAAATACCACATGATCTCATTTATACACGGAATCTAAAAAAACTCAACAGCAGCCAAGCTTATAGATGTAGAGAATACATGGGCAGTTGCAGGGTCAGGGGGTGCAATGGGTGGAGGGGATCAAAAGATGTTGTACATCACACCCCCCTGACTTATTCCAATTATAAAATAAATAAGTCAGGGGGATGTGATGTACATCCTGGTTACTATAGTTAATAATACTGTATTGTATATTTGAAAGTTGCTAAGAGTAGATCTTAAAAGTTCTCATCACAGTAAAAATATTTTGTAACTGTGCGTGGTGACAGATGTTAATGAGACTTACTGAGGTTGATTATTTCACAGTATCTACAAGTATCAAATCATTGTGTTGAATGCCTGAGACTAGTGTGGTGGTGTTTGTCATTTATACCTCAATAAAAGAAAAAGAAGGAGAGTCAGGCCTATTCTTTATACCCTACAAGATCCACAGAACAATTTACCTGGCATTTTAGCAAGTAGTCACTCCCTCATTCATTCAACAAACACTTACTGAGCCGCTCTGATGGGGTAAGCAGTGAATAAGGTGTTGAGGGGACATTGGTGAACAATTTCATGGTGCTCATGGTGTGGATCTAACCCACTTCAGATAAAACTGCCCTCAGAGACCTTTCCCCACCACAGATCGCACTCGGTGAGAATCGTGGCCCAGAACAGACATTGCACAACTGTGTTCTCACCTGGGGTAAGGATAAGAGGTTGTGGGATATTAAGTGAACTAAGTTAGTGGAATTAGGTCTGATAAAATTTATTTCCTCCCATAAATGCTTCTTTTCCATTCAACGCTCGCTGATTGAGTGATGTGTACTATGAATATATGCATATTATAAATTCATGCAGTAAAATTGGACACAAGTATTTCCTGGGTGTTCTGCAGAAAGCATCTTGAACTTTCCAGGGTTCTGTCCCCATGGGCAAGCCCAGGACTTACAGACTGGTTGAACGTTGGAGACTGGGTGGATCTGAATGACCCTGGATGTAGAGACCATGGCTGGAGTCCCTGACAGCTGTGGGTGGGGTGTTGCTTCCAGAAAAGCCTGTCCCCTCCAACGTCTCTGGGTACTCCTCCAACATTGAGTTGAAATATAACAGATTGAAGCAGTAGGAAACTTTCCACAGATCACAGACTACATAAAGTCATCCTGGCCCCATTCTTCCTCTTGTTGCCCAAATTCAGTCCAATCTCTTAAATCTGCCACAGGCCCTTCTCCCCCACCTTTGCTGCCATCACCTGTCCTGGGGCATCATTGTCTCTCGCCTGGACAACTGCCTCTCCCTTCTCTGGTCTCCCTCCATTCACTCTGCCCTGCTCTAATCTCCTCTAAATAAAATGATCTTTTAAAAGAGCCAATCTGATTATATCACTGCCTTTCTTAAAATCCTCCAGTGGCTTCCCACTGCCTAACTTCAGGATAAAGACTAGAGTGTGGCTCCTGCCTAGTCTCTTCCCTTTTTCTAATTAATCACCACCCTTCAGGTACACTGACTTTAGCTCACTTCCTGGGAGGCACAGGCTTTTCACATGCCTCAGGATCTTCTCACATGCTTCTTCCTCCACCAGAGAAGCTCTCCTCTCCCCGTCTTTTGCTAAAATTCAAGACTAATTTCCTTGAAGAAACTGTCTATGCTCTAAATGTTAGGTAAATGGTTTACCCTTTACATTCATAGCATCTGGACTCTCTCCTTATAAGCATGTTATCATAACTATGTTGAAGGTAATTCAAAATATATTAAAATACTTTATGTTTCCTTCTCTCACTAGAATGTATATTGCATCGAGGTGGGGACCTGTCGTCCCCACCTTGCATCGTCTTGTATTCCTAGCATTTAGCTCAGGATCTGTTGAATAATAGGGCCTCAATAAATATTTGTTAAATGAATGATTGAATAAGGCTACCAACTCCTCATTTTGGTCAAGACCGTGGGGGTTCACACTTCTGTGTCCATATCAATAGCACCCAACTATGCAGCTATCGCCACCATAACAAACTAGCTAAAATGTTTCTCTGGCCACCAGTGTGCCCATCTCCACTGTGTGTGTGTGGGGTGTGTGAACCACACGGAATTTCATGACTTTGATCTTGAGAAATGGAGTATTATGCTCACCCGATTAAAATAACACAGTGTTTTGAAGCCATCCAGGCTCAACTAAAAGTTTCCTTTTCCAAAAGGCAGACTTAAGTTCAAAGGCTCTAGTATTTGTGCAGAAAAGATTTGTCAGTTGAGTAAATGCACAGCTAATAGTTTCTGGGTTCCCCAAAAATATAAATTCCCCTGAAACTGACAAGATTAAAGGACCCTACCTTTCTGTTCACATTTGTTCCCTCCAACATGGCCACCCAGCAAATAAATATCCAGCAAAGAGGTAATTGGCTATAAAAGAGTTTATTCACCACTACTTCCCTGGGGGCTGACATGTGCAGATTCGTCTCTCAGACTCTCTTGCTGTCTGGCTAACGAGGGGTATAGGCAGCAAGGAGGGATGAGTTGGGGTATTTGTACCCAGGCGTGCCCTGCTGTGCCACTACACACCTGCCCTATGGCCCCTTCTCCAAGGTTCCACCAACTCTTTCTGGGCTCTGGTAACATGCTTCCCTCCCCTTTCGCCTTCAACCCTAGGGGTGGTCATAGCTCCCTACTGGCATGGGTGTCCAGGTACTTCAGTAGCCCTTGCTGAACATCTGTTTATCCTGCTCACACTCCTGTGAAGATTCTTTTCATCAGATCCTTGTCAGTTAAGCCTTTTGAGCTGCCTCTATGTCCTGCCAGGAAGTGAAGGATGAGGTGCCAACCAACCAGAGTGAGAAGGCAGTCACTCTGGGACTGGACTCATTCCTTTGCTATTCACTAAAAAATAGATAAATAGTGCTCGCTTCGGCAGCACATATACTAAAAAATAGATAAATGTGTACTATGATCTCTTCCTGGCAAGTCACTTCAGGATGCTGGATTGCCATTAAAGGCCATCTTGCCCGGGTGTCAGCAGGTTTTCCTCCCTCCCTTCTTTCCTTCCTTCTGGCCTTCCTTCCTTCCTTCTTTTCTTTTTTTAAAAGATTTTATTTATTTATTCATGAGAGACACAGAGAGAAAGGCAGAGACATAGGCAGAGGGAGAAGCAGGCTCCTCGCAGGGAGCCTGATGTGGGATCCATTTCAGGACTTGGGATCATGACCTGAGCCAAAGGCAGACACTCAACCACTGAGCCACCCAGGCTTGCTTTCTTTCTTTCTTTCTTTCTTTCTTTCTTTCTTTCTTTCTTTCTTTCTTTCGAGAATAGGGCGAAGGGGCAGAGGGAGAGGGAGAAAGAGAATCTCCAGCAGACTCTCTGCTGAGCGCCAAGCCTGACATGGGGCTCAATGTGAGGCTCAATCCTACAATCCTGAGATCATGACCTGAGTGGAAATCAAGAGCCAGATGCTCAACCTACTGAGCCACCTAAGCGCCCCAGAAGACTTTTTCTTAAAGGGCCAGACAGTAGATTTTTTGGCACTGCAGGCCACATGGTCTCTGTTGCAACTACTCCACTCCGCTGTTGTAGCACGAAAGCAGCTATAGATGGTATGTGAGCGATGAGTGTGGCTGTGATCCAATGACTTTATTTATGAAACCATGAAGCAGACTGGATTGGCCTGCAGGCCTTAGTTTGCGGACCTCTGATCCTGATGCACCTTAAATCTAGCTCTTATGCTCCATCAGGAGCATCCCTGGGTGAGCTGGATGTTGAGGCATCTCTGACAAACCTCCAGCAAGGGCATGGAGTCACTTACCTTAGTTTTCCGGAAATGTCAATGCTGATGTGGCCAATGGAGTTGTTGCAGTGGGCCATGGAGGCAGTGAGCCGTCCAGACTGGTCCTTGCCCAGGTTCAGAAAGGCTGAGATGCAAATGTCATCCACTTTCATATAGAAAGTACCTTTGAAGGAGCTGATTGGAAGTTATGAGAAGCAAATGGTATATAATCAGTCACCTCCAGGAAGAGGAGCCAAAAGAATGCAGACCAGTCCCCAGTTCACCACTAACTAGCTGTGTATCCTAACTGAGCCTCTACTTTGCAGCCAGCGTTTATTGAGGATTTGCTGTATGCTGGGCAGGCCCATTGCTAACTGCCTTACATCTGTTATTTTACTTAATCTACAACTGCATCAGAGAGATGGGTTATTATGAATCCCATTTTACAGGTAAATAAATGCAAGTTTAGAGAGGCTCAGATCTGGCTCCTTAAGGGACTGGTTGTTTGAGCACCCAGAAATGGAAGCCCAGGGTGGGAGGACATGCCTTCGCCCAAAGCTGAAGACATTTTAATCCAAGCACTACTCACAAGAAAGCCTTTTTTATCTTCCAGTTTCCACTAACAGTCACGTAGTTATTGGACAGGGAGGCTCTGACCCCCTGCCTTGGGCATAGCCTCAAATCTGAGTTCCTGAGCTCGAAGTCATGTATCTTCAGTCTGGGGAAGGAAAGCAGAATATCAAACCCAGAAAAGCCAGGTGCATATTAATCCACCTCTGGAGTTATCAGTGACTTTCTGTTACGGCTAATTTTGGGGTTGCTTCACTGTTCCCTATTTGGCTTTTTGGTTGTTTTAATATCTTTCAAGAAAATTCCCTGTATTAGATTCCTCATGTGGATTTCTGCTGGTCAGTGATGGACATGGCTACCCTGCCTGGTCCACTCATCTATATTATCCCCTCTCTGTGGCCTTTTGAGTTTGTGGCTCTTGTCAGATTCACACTCATTCGCTCACTCAACAAATATCCATTGAGATCCTGCTCCGTCAGACCTGGCTCTAGGCACAGAGGCCACAGAGATTCACAATGTAGTCCCTGTCCTTGAAGAGCTCACAGTTGGTGGCAAATCTGGATGTGTTAACAGACTATGGCGGCCCACTGTGAAGACTAGATGCAAGGGGTACTCTATGGCTGTGGGAAGGGCCCTTGACCTCTAAGTGGCAAGGCCTGAACAGAGTGTGTGTGCGCAAATTTTTAAAAATATTCTTTTTAAAGATTTTATTTATCTGAGAGAGAGAGAGAGAGAGAGAGAGAGCCCAAGCAGGGGGGAGAGGGAGATAGAGGCTCCCCGCTGATCAGGGAGCTCAATGAAGGACTTGGTCCCAGGACCTTGGGACCATGACCTGAGCTGAAGGCAGATGCTTAACTGACTGAGCCACCCAGGTGCCCCTGTGTGTACAAATTTAAAGTAGCTCCTTTTTGCTCACTGCCTTCAGGAAATTGTCTTGAGAGACTTTGGGAAGATTCAAAGGGACAATCTTTTCTATCAGGGATGAATAAATGATCCACAAGAACCTATTATGGACACTTATGGGGCTGGGGAAGAAAAATCCATGCAACCAAGGAATGAATAAAGCACTAAGGTGTGAAGACTCTAAGACTGACTGTGTAAAAGCTACGGGAGATTAAGGTCATTTAAGGCTTATGGAGAGGGAGCTTGTTCACCAGGGACCAGGAGGTCATCTGCTTTATTTCCCATAGGGTTATGTGTGGATGCTATCCTCAAGATGTAGCATGCAAATAAAATGTGAACAGGTTCCAGAAAAACTTAAAGTCCTTCACTACAGACCCCTGAAAGGCTTTGGAGGGAAGGACCGCATATCTCAAGCTGATTCCTCATCTGGGCAATCAGGAAAGTAGCTGGGGGTCTCTGGCAGAGCAAAAATTTAGAGGCAGTTTCTGCAAGAATGACCTTGGGGCTTGCGAATGGTTTCTAAGGCTCTCTTTTCCCATCCTGATGATTCAAGAAACATATAGCACCTCTCAGAAGCCCCACAAGAGCTGGCCATGATCCTTTTTGCCTTTAATCCAAATGATGATTCCATGTTTATCCCTTTACCCCGGGGAACCTAGGCCCCCATTCTTCTTCCTCCACTGCCCCTATGGTGGAGAATGGAGACCTCACCTGTAAAACTCATAGCTCATGATTTTAATCCAACTGACTTCGAAGCTTCCTGAGAAATCAGGCAACTCAATTGTGGATAGCTCCTTCTTCAGGATGGCTACTCCGTATTGGCGGGCTGTGGGGAAACAGCGGCAGTCAGCTCGTTCCGTGGGAGGAAGCCAAGCCCAATAGTCGGGTGGCCAGGCTTTGGAATCACACGGACTGGGAGTGAATATCGGACTTGCCATGTACTCTTGGTGTGCTCCCAAGCAAGTCCTCTAAATTCCTTGAGCCTCACTTCCCCCCATCTGTACAATGGTGATAGTAATAATACCAATTGGGACCGGAGAATTAAATTAGATCATGAACTCAAAGTGCCAGGTAAATGGCGAGTATTATTTAGTCAACAAGGTGATAGAAGCAACGATACAATACAGCGGGGGCTTTTGAGGACTCATTTACTGCAGCGTGGTCAAACCTTCGGGTTTTTCACTGTTGCCTGGGCCATGTGTTAACAAGGCAGATTCCCAAGCCTAGCTTCAGTTGATAATAGATAGATATTTGGAATCTGCATTTTAACATGTGTCCCAGTAATTCCAGTGTGGTCCACTGACCCCCAGGGGAAAATGCTGGTCTAGTCCCATCCTTTGCCTCTGGTATTCAAGACGAGGAAACTGAAGCCCAGAGGCAGGCATATCCAAGGTTTCTGAGCCAGGCAGGTGCAGAACTCAAGCCTGTGGTCCCTCGTCCTGATTACCACACCAACCTGGTGAGCAACAATGAGCACCAGAAAAATGACTGACCCTCGCCCCCCCCTTACCATATTCCAGGCCTTTTCTGGTGATTCTGGCCACGAACCCAGGATTAGATGCCCCTTCTTTAAGCCCAGAGACCACTGCCAGCAGCAGTAGGACCACTACCACGCAGTGTGGTCTGGCCATCATCCTCAGCAATGTCCTGCGCAGAGGTTGGCCAGAGTCTCTCCGTAGAAGCCTCCTTTACTGAAGGTGACAGTAGCGCTGAGATGCTTATAAAGCCTGGGGCCAGATGAGGAACTGAATCCTTTGGGAGAGAGGGTGGGGAAGGTTCAAGGCTTTGGGGCAGCCCAATTTTCAGCAACTTGAGATGGAAAGAAGGTTGCTTGCGAAATTGTTTTAGGTTTATTTCTGGCCTAGAGGGCAGTGGAAACAGGACCACAACCTCCAACCGCTTCCTCTTCTAAGCTCTGCTGCCTAATGCTGCCAGAGGAGACTCCGCGTAGCGCCTCTCTCTAGCTGAACACCTCCATTCATTCTCCATTATCTACAGACTGAGATGTAAACATCCAGCATGGCAGCGGGGGTGCCACAACCTGACTCCAATGCACCTCTCCAACTGGACCTTCCACCAGGCCAGCCTGCCAACCCTGTGCTCTGGCTCCCCTAGAACTCACCGTTCCCCACTTACACCATTTCATTACAAGACCATTTCAAGTCAGGCCACACATACAACAAATGGATTCTGCAGATGGTTTTGGATTTTTTCTCTTGCCTACATTGTTTTAAATCTACTTTATTAAAGTATAATTTACATGCAATAAAATGCAGACATTTTAAGTGTATAGTTCAATGAGTTTTGACACACATATATCCATGTAACTGCATCATAATCAAGATAAAAACTTTTGCATCACCCCAAGAATTCCCCTCATGCCTCTTCCCAGAAAATCTCTGATCCCGTCTCCTATTCCCCAAAACCACTGACCTGCTTTCTGTGACCATCCATTCATTTCACCTGTTCTAGAGCTTCGTGGGAATGGAACCATACAGTACACATCTCGACTGTACTGACTGGCTTCTTTCATGCAGCATTATGTTTCTGAGATTAATTCGTGCTATTTTGTGTGTCAATAATTCACTCCTGTCTATTGTAGAGTAGTGCTCCACACAGCCGTTGGATCAATCCTTTTATTGCATTGTATCGTATTTTTAATTTTCTTCAGATAGGAAATACATTCACATGGCTCAACAGTCAATCAATATAACAAGACCTACAGTGAGGAGTCTGGCTCTCAACCCTCTTGCATCTTCCCAGCTCCTATCTCCTCTGAGTCAAATCAACATGAAATTGCCATGTGGCAATAGGGGACATTGACTGATGGGGGACTGATAGGGGACATTGAAGGTGCTTTGACAGCTTACATCTTAGGGCCTGTGGGAGCCCAGGGAAAGAGCAATCAAGACAGGAGAGGTGCTTGGTCTGGGTTTTGAAGTACTTGTAGGAGTCTGACAAACAGTCACAGAGACGAAAGGCATCCTGGACAGAGGGAACAGCACGAGCCAGGGCACGGAAGCCTGAGGCAGCGCTGCACATTCTGGAAGGCATGAGGAACTGTGGGAAAGGAAAGGGTGAGGGGTGGGAATGGACAAGAGCATGGACGAAGAGCAGGCACAAGCATGGGCGCAAACTCCTCTTGGAGGGCCTGGTTGAAGTATGAACACAGGAGTTTTCATTTTCCCTTCCTTGGCAATCCCTATGTTGTGTTAAATTCTCCTTTTCCTCTGGATAGGGGGCTGCTTTCATGACAACTCAGTCCTGATTCAAGCACTTCCATCACGTTCAGCTTAATTGAAGACTTGGTCCTGTCCCTATAAGCCCCAATCTCATGTCTACCACATAATGCTTTCCCTCTGTCGCGGGCAGGCATCTGGAGGCTCTCATGGCTTGGAGCCGGCAAACGTGTGTGCTGGTGCATGTGCACATATGTCCACACATGAGTGTTTGTACATGAGCATGTGTGCGTGCATGGGTATCCATGCGTGTGTGTGTGCTTGCAGGGGTATGCATGCGTGCCTTGCGTGTGCATATGCGTGTAGGGCTGGTTTTCTCTCACACACCCCTCCCTCTTTCCTGCTCTGACCTGTAAAGAGGAGGGAAGAGCTATTGGGGGGAATTGGAAGACCTCTTCGTGTATCTCAGTGGTGGTGGCCCCTGCTGGGGCTCATTGGCACTGATCAAGCTTGACATCCATCAACTCAAGGAGGGTAAAAAGAGTCCCCCATGGGCTCTGGTAATGAGGGACTCAATTCCAAGCAGCTGTTTCAGGCAACAATCAACCCTTGGGAGAATTGTCCTCAACCTGTGACCCCCAATACGTCCTCGACCATAGGCCTGTGGCCAGAGTTGAGTCCAGTTTCGCTTCCCTTTGGTAGATGGGACATCAGAGAGGTAGTCTTTGCCTCTTCTTTGTCTGCTTGTTTCAGAACCTACCCTTCTAGGAGTGGTTCTCCTGGGAGTCCTTTTGTCTCAGCTTTGTTTAGGGGAGCAGTCAAGAATCTTCTCCTCTGTCCTGTAAGATGGTGCAGAAGAGGGTAGTAGAGGGGCTCTGTTTATAACCTCCTGGAAATAGTTTCATTAGGATCCTGGCCAGGTCAGGTTTGGGGTCTGCTCAGAGGTCCAGCAGCAGCAGTCGGAGGATGGAGAAGATCTACGTGAAGGGTGCCCATGGGCTTGGACTCCAGAATGTTTTGGGAGACAGAACTGGCTGCGTTAGTTTGTCAGGGCCTCTGTGATAGGGTGCACAGCTGGCAGGATTAAATAACAGAAATTTCTTTTCTTGAAGTTCCAGGGGCTTGACATCTGAGATTGAGGTATTGGTGGCACTGGGTCCTTCTTAGGGCTGTGAGGGAGATCTGCTCCAGTCCTCTCCCCTCAACCGAGGGTCTCTGCTGATCTTTGGCATTCCGTGGCACATTCTTTGGTGCCACCCCAAATTCCACCTTCATTGTCACATGGGGTTCTTCCCGTCTCATGGCTGTCTCCAAATTTCTCTTTCATAAGGACACCTGTCACGTTGGATTGGAGGCTCACCTTAATGGTCCATCTTAACTAATTATCTTTGCAATGACCCTGTTTCCAAACAACATAGATAGGTACAAGGGGCTAGGACTTCAACATATGCATTTGAATGGGGGGGCACAATCCAACTCCTAACAGTGTCCCATGAATTGTAAGGAGTGAGGATAGCAATTCTAGTCTTGGTTATGCTGAAATTTGCGTCAAGGTCCTACATGATTGCCTCCATAAGTCTGTATCCTCCCTCTCCCCAAAAGAGCGTAATGCTACTGACCTGGTGGGGCTTTTGCAGGGATTAAATAAGTTAACATCTGGGAATGCTCGAAGTATCTGGTATCTGCTGAGCCATGGCAGTGAGGTCATATGCATTGGGGACCATCCCCTGAGCTGGCCTCCTGAGATATCTCATCTTGCCAGAGACATGAAACCATCAGTAGAGAAAACATCCTAATTGTGGCTTTCACTTCTCTTTTGGCTGAAACTTGAGGTCATGGCCAGGAGATTGAAGGTTCATGCGTCAGAACTCCAGGATTAAAGCCCCACAAAAGCTCTGCGCTGAAGACAAGCCTCTGAGGCATTTTTTACAGGCACTGTCCCTGTCATAGGGCCTTCCTGGGCCTCTTGCACATGTCTGACATGGTGTGCCCTCTGCCATCTTGTCCTGGGACCTGTCTCCTCACTGTCTACCACCAAAATCCCTCTTCTTCCAGGGATGGGGAGTGCATGTCAACCTGTGAACACCCACAGGTGGCCTAGCCTTGGCATTTTTCTTCTCCTTCAGGGCCACCTGACCTCTCTGTTGGGTGCACCCAGGACTGCACAGACCTTGACCTGCTGCAGGGGTGCTGTGTCTGTCACATGTCCTTTATCCATGCTCAATCCCACCCCTCAGCTTCTTCCAGGACTGGGCTGAAGCTCTAGCTTACTGATTACAAAATACCTTTTAAAAAAAGATTTTATTTATTTGTGAGAGAGAGAGAGAGTGCACAGGGAGTGAGCGAGGGGAGCACCGAAGGGGAGGGAGAGAGAGAACTCTAAGTAGATTTTGTGCTGAGTGCCAAGCCCCACTGAGCCTGGATCTCACGACCCTGAAATCATGACCTGAGCTGAAACCAAGAGTCTGACACTCAATGACAGAGTCACCCAGGTGCCCCTGATTACAAAATAGCTTTATAGGCAATATCTATACATGATAAAAAGGGTCCAAGTTGTACAAAGGGTGACAATAGTTCTTCCTTCCACTGCCATCACCAGACTTCCAGCTTTCTGCCCCAGAGGCAGTGTCTTTCTCTTCTTTTTTAATATTATTTATTTATTTATTTATTCATAGAGACACAGAGAGAGAATGAGAGGCAGAGACACAGGCAGAGGTAGAAGCAGGTTCCATGCAGAGAGCCTGACGTAGGACTCGATCCAGGGGCCTGACGTGGGACTCGATCCAGGGTCTCCAGGATCACGCCCTGGGCTGCAGGCGGCACTAAACCGCTGCGCCACCAGGACTGCCCTGTCTTTCTCTTCTTTATAAACTACTTTGTGAGAGTGCCTGGGTGGCTCAGTCGGTTCAGCATCTGCCTTTGGCTCCAGTTGTGATCCCAAGGTCCTGGGATTGAGCCCCACATTGGGCTCCCTGCTCAGCGGGTAACCTGCTTCTCTCTTTCCCTAGCTCTTCACTCCTGCTCATACTCTCTCTCTCTCTGCTGTCTCTCACATAAATAAATAAAATCTTTAAAAAAAGTACTTTGTGACAACAGAAGCACACACGATAACACAAGTTCTCTGCATCTTACTTTCTGCACTTAATGGACCTTGGAGGGAAGGCGAAGCATCTATCCACCCCCACCCTACAGGCTCACCAGGCCAGTGCTGGGCCCTGGGGACCTCAAGAGACACCAGCTCTACAGCCACAGGGGTCTGCACGGTGGGATCGCAGAGCCCCATCTACCCAGGCACGATAGTTTGAGCCTTCACCTCTTCAATCAGATTGTGAATATCAGAAAGCAGTCTGATGACTATGAGAATGGCAGGAACTTTGGGCGACCCTGGTACTCTGGATGAGATTGCCTATGAGAGACTGGCAGAGAAGACACTGGATACCTTAGCAGAGTTTGTTGCAGACCTCCCAGACAAACCTTACTTATTGGAA